CTTTTTCCTATTAATACTAAAACTTTCGAATTTTTATTTAAAATAATTCCCTTGTGTCCATGGAACATTAAATTATTATATTCCTAGAACTCGTTAATAGCCACTGAATTATTAATAACCAAAGTATAAAACCTGTTTTGCGAAATGTATGAATCAAAGTAAACAAAACAAAAAATTCTTGTACATCAGCAAATACTGGCGCAGTGCCAGGAAGATCTCCCCCCCCCCCCGGCCCTCCGGCGGGTGATGTTGATATTGTGCTTATGTCATGCCTTGACAGTCTGTCACATAAACACATGATATTGGGAACATCTTCATAATGGTGTGGTTAATACATGCATAACGATATTGTGGGGTGTGATGTACTCAACTCTGGATGTAAAGTTAAGACAGGTAACGGCCTGTTTAAGCAAGTCGACAGCGCTTATAATCCGGTGTCCGCAAACTTCAAACGTAAACGAGAGCAAGAAGCTGGGGCAGGTTTCATTCAGAAAATCGAGCACTGTCAATTTGCACTACTGCTCATGTGTAATAATCCTCCTCCTAAACACATTATATTGTTCAACATGGACTGACAAACTACTAACACCATCACTTGCACCAACATATTCATCCCAAAGATAATAATCGAGAATATGAATATACGCAAGCAATTGAAATTTGTACTGTACCGAATTTTGAGAGCAAGACGAGTATAAAACTCCAGTTTAGGCAAGATTAAAATTGGTACCCGAGTAAGCAGGTTTGTTAAGATGTTGTGCCTGGGTCTTCAATTCGTCAATGTCATTAAATTGAATACAATTATTTTCTGGTTTTAAAAGTGTTACGAAAACTTGTGAATGGGACCAAATTTAGATTCCATGTCATCTGCATGCATATTACAATAAAATTTCTAAACAAATGCTAAAAGATTTAATAAAGTAAGCAAACCCTTTTTGGATTCTTTGTCCGAAAAGAAAGGAAAACGAAGCCCAGATAACATCCTGAAACTTCTTTACGTTCTATTTTTATCCTCCTCACCTACTTTGTGTCAATTTGCTGCCTTTCGTGAGCAAAATGACACTCTTGGTTCACCCGTGTACTGACGTTAAAACGTGCGTGGTGTCACGTGCAGGTCTCCCAACATGGCGTGACTCAGAGGAGAGACGACCATCATGCAGCTCGCTCACTACAACCAGTCTGGCCTCGCCTCCCGAGTAAGTAACGCCTTTCATTAGTGCCTCTCGATCCATGCTTGGACTCCTGCATAGTGCAATATACTTACTGTGACGTGACATGCCTTCGCTTAACCCTCATCTGGTGGCTGCGAGGAACACCAAACATCTTAAAGCATGATACGAGTCAAGAAGGAAGCTGAACATTAACGGACCAAGCCAGGTCGGTGCTGGCCACCAGAGACGTACTGAATATAAGCAACTGCACAATATTTGTTTCTCTGTGATGCTAATGCGAGATCGTCGCCAGCAAACTGAAGGACCAGGTACCAGTCAAGTCAGTTTTTGCAATGTATAATCATGCAAAAATCTGATGATGACAGAGGCTGATAGTGTTTGATCAGCCATGCCAAAATAATAGTGACCAGCACTTAAGTCGTAATTTGTTTCGTAATGGTATGCGTTATATTTTACAGTGATTATGCTCATCCGCTTGAAGTCTTATCATGATTATTCTTAATAATAATAATAATACGACGCCCTAAGTAAAGCAGGGCAGGAATAAAGCAGGTGAGAGCTATCACAAGACATGTATGTACTGGAGAACAGGCTCCCTTAGGTAGGTACCATATGCTCTCAGAATTAATGATACTTGATGCTGTGCGCGGCTTATATTATTACTCGCCTCGATCGACAGAGCACCTATCCAGAATTGAACTTTTAAAAAAGAAATTGAGGATAATGTAAGGTGTTGCTCAGTACTTACCAGCCAAGGGAGTGATCTTAACTCCGCGGCCACAACACCTGCTCCAACTCCGGCTTGTTTACACGTCAACACTAACCTCACCACCACGGCAATAGTACTGTTCATTAATTTCCCTATTTTGCTCGGCACTATCGTGTTTCTTTCACAATGGTGGGCCTCGGTATAGCAGCAACAGCTGGGTAGCCACACGCACGTCCCCTGAGGCTGGACAACACTGACTCTCCACCTTCCCTACTCACGGTAGGGAAATACGTCACGCGAAACAAAGGACAAACATTAAAAAGAAAAGCACAGACGTTTAAAAGGAGAATTACACTGTAGGTAAAGAAATTTATTACCATCTGGAGGTACTCGGTTATTTTGTTATAAATGGTAACACATGTTCCTTGCACAGTACTGGAACACAGACATATGGTAAACAAACCATCTTCAGGTTAGGCTCGTTCTAGCCGAGACCGTCTTCAAACACGCATTAGCAAATTTTAATGTACTGCATAATAAAAAAAATAGAATGTTCTTGTAATATACATTAATATTAAGTTATATTAAATTTTGTGCATAGTTAGCCCTAGAATAGGATAGGTTACGCGTTTTAGTTCTGTTGGTAATTATTTGTATTTGCAGACGTAGGTAATACACTTAGAGATTTATAAGTACGTACACAAGAAGAGTGAAGCACTGTTCAAGAAAAGTTCGAACGTAATGAATAATGAGTAAAATGTTTTTCATTCATAAAGAGCGGGTCTTGCGGCTGGAGAACTTGGCCACCGTTTACGAGTTAGGCTGCAGAAATATAATTTCCCATTGTTTGAGTAGGATGTTAAATTAAGTTAATCACGTTCGCAGTTGTCAAGATCAGTATCTCGCAAATTCCCTTTGTTCGATCCTATCTAAATACTTCGCCTACACTTCATAAATGTAAATCGATATAGTGCCTATAGCAACTAAACAGAATGTACAAAATGTGGACTGTTATACCCCAAAACAAATCCACGTTTTGTATTACTGGCAGTCTAAGGGGGACAAAAACTTCCCAAACCCCAACCATAAACCGAATCCTTCCTAGGCCTAAATGAATAACCCGCTTTATATATGTAACTTTTGGCCTAATTCTATACATATACGTATTAAATTAGGCCTAGAGAATGCTAGGTTTTGTTGTTGCCTTCTTTCTTGAGCGCTCTATAAAATCAATAGTACAAAAAGTGGACATTTGGGTGCAACAGTTCATTTATTGTACATTCCACCCATAGTTGCTGCAGATACTATTACTTCTGAAGGATACGTTGAAAAAATGGCCAACGGAACCAAAACACCTAACTTAACCTAAGCCTAGCGATACATAAAATAATATTTTTGAATATATCTATCATATATATCTATCGTCATATATATATCTATCGTCATATATATATATATATATATCTATCGAATATATCTATTGTCATATATATATGACGTTTGATTATATTGTCCTGAAAAAGTACTAATGCGCATTTAGGGACGACCGCAGCTTGGACGAACATCGCCGGAGGGTGAGTCATGTGTAATGAGCTTTCCATTCATATACAGGTACGCGGGAAGTTGGGTGGGGGAGAGGCTGTTAGGGTTAACGAGAATTTGGTCAATGTTTTGAGGATGGTTTAGTTATATGAGGACTTCAAAAACCATCGGTTTCAGAGCAGTCGTGGAGAGACAACATACAGCCCCAGCACCTATACTGGGTAAGTTCACTACGGGCTCACCATAACTCGTGCTACTTGGAACTTTTGTTCAGAGTAGCTGAATCTAAAAGAATAACAACAGTCATCGGTTCAAAACTGTATACCTAGCTTGGACTATACCACCTCAGTGGTGGTATATTAGCCTTCAAACTCTCAACTATCGTCCAGTAGCGACACACGTACAGTATTACGGCCTTCCGGCTAGGTGCCTTCTTTTGATAATTATTTATATTTATTTCCCATAATGGTGCATTCCACCAATACAAACTTTCGCATAATATGCTGGTTAGCATTGTAAATATGTGGCTACGTCTGTGGTAGAAAATAATAATAATAATAAAAGTACGCTCACTTTAACATATGTATTATTTGTATTATCATTATATACTGCATAGTCATATTGGCCTTGCGCTTTCTCTTGATAATTATCACATTTCAATTATTACTACCGAATAATATTTGCAGTAATCTATAAGGAAAGTGCACGTCTGAAATGAATATTCGGCTGGGGGGAGCATTAGGAATGATTGATGCCGACGTAAGGGGCCCAACATGGCCAACACTGCCTCGTAAAGCTTCATCAGAGGGTAGAGACAAAAATGTAGTCAGACAGCTACGTGACCCACTTTGTACCTCTCCTCAATCTCAGGTACCACTTTGTATAAGATTTTATACATGTATTACTGGGGACGTTAACCAACACAAAAGGAAAGGTGCAGTTTTGTTAATGTGAAGTACATTCACTACAATGTGAATTAAAAATTTGACTATCACTTTTTGTCAGTTTCTTTTAAAATATATATAATTTTCTAACCCAATCAAGAGAAGGCTTTGAGGAAAAATTATTTTGAATAGGCCTTTCAGAAGCACTTGTATTGAAAACTTTACCTTTTCTGTTTAAAAAAAATCGTTTCGAGTAAAATGTATAATTTTTAGGCTTGATAAAATGTTGTGAAATGGTAACATATTTATGACAAATTTACCTTGAAATCAACGATAACTTTAACTTGGGATTTAAATGTTTCTTTGAACGCGATCATTATTGCATGAAAGTTGACATAGCTGGAACATGACAGAAGAACAATAAATTGCTACAATTACATTCAATTATAGTAGAATAGATATTGTTTGATACAGTTCTTCGTGCCTTATTTTACTGCTAGTAGAAGTATTTTATATATATATATATATATATATATATATATTTTTGCAGGGATATCCTGCACAGAGTATTGCTGTACCTCTGCAACTTGAGAGAGATATGTTAGTGCTGGAGTCGGCGGAGGCGTGGTTGTGCACTCAATGAGACGCACCAAAGAAGAATTGTGCGTTCATTGCCGGGTGTGGAGGACGTACCTGTGGTGACAGCGATGAAACTCCTGACGAGGTCGGCGCCCGGGTGCGGGTTGGCGTGTAAGGAGCTCTGGTCAGCGTAGAGCTCAAGCATGTAACGAGGCACGTGGGGGGCGTCTTCCCCTGCCTCCTCCGGTAGATGGAACTCACTCATATTAAGGTTGTCGTTGGACCCGTAGTCGTAGTCGTAATAATAGTAGTCTTCGTCCTCGGGAGAGTGGTGGGAGGGGGTGGAGTTGATGGCCCCAAGTGGCGGTGCCGGCTTGGCCACAGCCCCGGCCACGCCCACCGTGACCAACAAGAGAAATGTGGCCAGGTGGGCCGCACCGCAACTATATTGGTTCATGAAAATGGTCAGTGAGACGGTGGCCCGGCCAGGCCACCCACCTGTTGCTGCAGCTTTAACTGCGCGCCCCGCCACCATTGTGGCCCGCACCTGCCGCCCATGTCGCCAGTGCGGCCCGTGGGCCACACCGGCTACCCAGCCCTGCCCGACCACTGGACCTGCGACAACCCCCAACAAAATTCTCGTCAACTGTGCGGGCGTGAGTGTAGACGGGGTCACAAAACAACGTATGTCACAGGGCGCCTCGTCAACTGATGCCCTGATATACGGAGCACACTCACCCTACACATACCATATATCCTGACTGCTTGACCTCAGATCTAACAACTTATTTTCAATATCTTGATAGGAAGCAGGCTCTTCCATTTGCACATTCAGATATCCACATCACTATAGGACATTAAACCAGAGCACATTAATTTAATCTATTCATTCACTGGTAATTAACACCGCACGAAGCAGAGTAAAGGTTTTAATGATAATAAGCGAGGTCCGCGCACGAGGGTGAAGGTGCCGCGACACAAGCCTCGCTCGTTACCTCTCCTCTCACACACACACACACACTTGCTGGGTATCTTAACTGCTGTCCGCGCGGCCCGCCAGTCTGGCCACTACTGATGCTGTCTGTCCTTTCCCTCCCATCCCGGCGACCTCGTGGGGGCGTGTGTGCGTGTGTTTGTCTGTGGGTGTGTTTCAGTGCTGTTCTTACCTAGCTGTGCTTGCCAAGTTTCAGCTTTAGCTCATTGGTCTGCATCTTAAATTTTCAACAAAGTTGTAGTTGATTACTTCAGGATACTGCCGAACCTACTTTTGAGTTCCAGTAGTGCACTATTCTACTCCTCCCTCTACTCCTACTCCCTCCACTACTCCTGTTGACTAGTTTTGCATGTTTACAATATACCCTTACTCTCCAAACAATCATCCCAACATTATTTAAAAATTCGTATTCTATGTCCACTTAAAGCTGTGGTTACTACCCTCCATGTTAAACACCATGCCATTGTGTAGTGGTAATACTCCTCTGCATCGTATACATGTTCATATTCCTTCCGATTCTTAGTACCTCCAGAAAAGTGAGACTACCAACTTAGTCTCTCCTGCTAATTCACATTCCTGAGACCCGAGTGTGGGTATAAGCCTCATGAGAAAATGACAACACGTCCCGGTTAATGGGACAGTCCCCCCCCCCCGTTTATGTATTTTGTTTTTAACCCCTTCAGGACATTATTATTAAAACGTCATAATTTCCATTTAATTTGAAAGATTATATATAGTTCTAGCATTTGTAATTAAAAAAAATTATATATTGTTTTAATCAAAGAATTTAAAAAAAAGTATATAAATTACATCAAGAGATTTGAAGTTGGAATAAATTAAGTGATGCAGCTATAAAAGCTTTGTATTCATTGAGAGAAAAATTCTTCAAAATCGGATTAAAAGTAACGAAAATCTGGCCTTTTCTAAAATTTACGTAATTTGAATTTTCCCGTCAAAATGCTGCCAATAAGAATCTTGTACACTTTTGTAATTTACCCAAATTTACTTGGGGGGGGGGGTATAGTCTAGTGGGCGGCGGCTTGTCAGAGGTCCCCATTATTCTTTAGTATTTTTTCCAACTGGATTTTATACTGAAGTAATGTCTTTGCATTTACAGCTGAGCCAAGTGCTTCAAAGGCATATTCTAACAACATAATTAAATTCATAAATACTTAATGACTTGTAATGAACTAACCTAATTAAATGTTTTCCGAAAATAATGATATCTATATCAAGTGCTGCAGATAATGAATCCCCCACTGGTACATTGGGGTACATCTCCATAGTTTACACTCCAAGTGTAAACTATGTGAACAAGAGCTAGGATATAGTCTCAAACACTATATATATATATTAGTAATGATAATGTCTTCTCACAGACATAACATTGGATAAAATAACACTCGTGTATTTGTGAAATTTATGTAAGGAATTTACAATCTTTCGCACTCTGAGTGCTTTGTCACTCAGGAGATCATCCTGTTGAGATCAGGAAGCTTGTTCTTTATGCGTATCAAGGTCACCCTAAGTCAACTACTGACCTTTCCAGTGATGCAACCCACAACAGTTGCCTAACTCCCAGGTACCTATATGAACAGAGCATCAGGTGAAAGGGAACTTGCTCAACTGTTCCTTTCCTACCCGGAAATTGAACCCGGGTCCCTTGATGGAGAGTCTTTGAGGAAGACCAGTGTGCAACAGCGCGCCATGTCATGTCTTGAACATATACATTGTTTTTTCTTGAGGTACAGTGTATATAAGTTTACACACATTTGATTTCATGGGCTAAATCCGTAGATGGTACTGACATAATGTGCTTACTGCTTTTAAAAATTAAGTACTGTATAAGAAATATGAAAAGCTGCTGGTTTTCAACAATAAACCAAGTTTATGTTAAATGTTATAGTTGTCTACTTATATTATTAGAGTTCTAGCTACAGTTGATGGTCCCAGTAGTAGTCTGGTTCGTTCTTGATTCACACTCAAGAATTCCTGGTTCGAATCCTGGGCGGGACAGAAATGGTTGGGCGCATTTCTTATCACCTAATGCACCTGTTCACCTAGCAGTAAATAGGTACAGTACTCAGGAGTTAGTTAGCTTGGTGGAGGAGTTTGCTACATGGCCTTCCCGGCTTGGTGCCTTCTTTTGATAATTACTTACTTCTTGTGGTGGTACATCCTGAGGAAATTGAAATAAGTTTATTGAGGTAAAATACACACAAAGGGATGGAGTAGCTCAAGCTATTCTCACCCCGTTCAGTACATCGTTACATAGACACATCACAAACAAACATATTACCAAACATTCTGAGAAACATACATTTCCTACATCCTGAGGAGGGTCAGTAATTCGACCCGGGGCGATCATATATGAATCACAGCCTGGTTGATCAGGTATCCTTTGGAGGTGTTTATCAAGTTCTCTTGAACACTGCGAGGGGTCGGCTAGTTGGCCTAATATGTACTCTTATGTATAAACTGGCTGCCTGTCCCCCGACAATTAAATTTTCTGCCTTAATTTAGCACATCATGGTCAGAATATATTTGTAAGAAATTTGTTTTTTAAATGTTCAAATCAAGATATTTTGTTGATCTTAACACACATTGTATTAGCGTTCGCGTTGTGAATTTTAATATCTTAATATATTGTCAAGAGCAAATTCGTGGTATATCTGGGATTATTAGGGTACCACTGTGGTCAAACACCCACCTTGCACTTATCACTGTGGTGGTTGAGCACGCACTGTCAGCCTTACCACTTTAATACTAGTCTTTATATTCTTTTACACAGTATAATGGGGTACGTGTAGTGGTTTGGTTGTTAGTACTGTATTTGTAAATGTTCAATACTTGTGAAATCTATTTTGTTTAGTTAAATGAATGGTTTTATGTATAGCCTGGAAAGAACTATTAGGGAACTTAATACTTAATGGAGCCGGTCGGCCGAGCGGACAGCACGCTGGACTTGTGATCCTGGGTTCAATCCCAGGCGCCAGCAAGAAACAATGGGCAGAGTTTCTTTCACCCTATGCCCCTGTTACCTAGCAGTAAATAGGTACCTGGATGTTAGTCAGCTGTCACGGGCTGCTTCCTGGGGGTGGAGGCCTGGTCAAGGACCGGGCAGCGGGGACACTAAAGCCCCGAAATCATCTCAAGATTACCTGTACTACTGTACTCAAGCAAGCAGCAAAAAGCTCCAAGCCAGCAAAGGTTGTATAATTCCCATTGTCATTGACAGGAAGTCTATAACTTAAGACTTATCGAAGTCCCCCTCCCCACCAGAACAGCCACTGACTTTCCCCAGAACAGCCCACGACAGGTGCATATTTTGCTGCTAGGTGAACAGACACATCAGGTGAAAGGAAACTTCGCCAAACGTCTTTGTCCAACCAGATGACTGAACTCTGGTCCCTCAGTTGTGAGCCAGGAACATTAACCATTGTGCTCGACTCAGTGCCTCCATATTATTCAAGACGTTAACAAAAAAAAAAAAAAGTAAAGATGAACAATGCCAAAGGAGTGATTCAATGAGGATATTATGCACAGCTTTCTATTAAGATCACAAATTAATTAATTGTCAGGGAAAAGTACCAAGCCATTACGACTTTATAGCACTTGGAAGGGGTCAGGACGAGTATTTGGGATGGGACGGGAACGGAATGGTGCCCAACCACTTGGGCGGTCGGGGATTGAACACCGACCTGCATGAAGCGAGACTGACTGGATGGTAGAGTGACAAAGTGGCTGGATGTAAGATTACAAAGCATTTAACACTAATAGAAACATCGTAACCATTATGAAAATTAAAAATATCACCATTCCATTTGTTTTATTGCAGTGCATAAAATTATAAATATTTATGTAAAGTATATAATTCACAAAATGTAACCATTTAAAAAAAGTAATTTAGTTTTACAAAACATTGTATGATGATTAAATGATCAACATACGATATATTGCTTAATTAAAGAAAAATACCGAAACCCAGTTTAGTATGACCGGCCAAAAAGTGTGTAGAACAATGGTTCAGCCTTGCAAGATGGATGAATACATGATAAACCCTTTACTTCCCCAGGTTGTTCAAAGGGTATACACAAGCTCTTTGCTCCCATCGATGGAGCACCTGGCTCAGCTGTGTCTTCACAAGCAGAGTCCTTCTTGATGGCATCTTCACACTCTGCTTTGCCACAAAATGGAGCTAGGAGAATGTTGCCTTTCTCCAAGTTGCTGGTGAAATCGTTCCAATTGTTAACCTTTATTTTGTGTGACTCCAGGTCACTGCGAGCTCGTGTTAATAAGTTGTTATGAATGGTGTTTAGAAGAGTTTGGGCTTCCAATACAACATTAGATCGGTTTAAAACACACTTTTCAGCAGTGTCCCGTCGTACAGCAAATACCTGACCTGCAGCAACCTCACGTAGTCCAAGCTCCAATCTTAGGGGTACACCCTTTAGCTCCCAGTGATTGAACTTCAAAGCAGGAGTAACATTTTCTCGTAAGTCACACCGAGCACGTACACCAGCAGCATTCAAGACAGCATCTAATTTATTACAGGCATTCACGAGGTGTGATTTGTCTTGCTCTGTTGATTTAGCTATAATGCCAACTGGCATAATAATTGCCTGCACAGGGGCCACCTGGGGAGGCAACACAAGTCCTTTATCATCACCATGAACCATTACCGTTACCCCAATGGTCCGCATTGTTAATTCCCAGCTGTTCAGGTAGCAGTACTGCTTTTGTTGCATCTCTGGATCTTCAAAGATAATTTCAGACATTTTTAAAAGGGTTTGTCCCAAATGATGAGATGTTGCTCCCTGAATGCCACGCCCACTTGCAGATATAAAAGCCTCGGTAGTAGTCGTAAAATCACTTCCTGCAAACTTTTCTTTCTCAGTTTTCTTGCCTTTAACAACTGGAACTGCCAAGAGCTTTTCATATACTTGAGAATAAAGCTCTAGTATCTGATACACTTCTGCCTCAGCCTCTTCCTTAGTGGCAAAAGCAGTGCATCCTTCTTGCCACAAGAATTCACGAGTTCTTAAGAATGGAGTAGGCTGCTTGACCTCCCATCGTACAACATTATTCCAATGGTTACGTTTTATTGGCAAGTTTGTGCGTGACTCAATCCCTTTAGCAAGAGCAAGATACATGACAATTTCTGATGTTGGACGAATAGCAACAGGCTCTGCTATTTCACTTGATCCTGATATTGTTACCGAAGCAACTTTTGGAGAGAAATCTGCAATGTGAGCCTTTTCTTTCTCCAGAGCTTCCCTTGTAACAAATATGGGGAAACGAGTATTGTCAACACCTAAAGATCGAATTTCTGTATCCAAGAAATCCTTTATATTACACCATATTGCACATGACCAAGGCCGAAGGATGTAGCAACTCGATGCATTGTAGTATTCGATCATCTCTGCTTTTGTTATCACCTGTGAATACCATTCAGAAAGATTCTGTTCTTTTCTCACCTCTAGTCCTAACCTTGTTTGCTTCTTCACATTACCATCTTGTTTTACAGGTCCCTTTACCTTGGTCTTTACAGGGGATTTTTCCTTAGACTTCTTGCTCTCCATACTTTTAGGTATAACTCCAGTACTTCCTACAGAACTGGATGTAGTCCCCATGCCACTCACAGGTGAAGCAGGTTCACAAAACTGAGACATATCAATATTAGCCTTCCATTCAATACTTGTGTACTCTTGGAACTCCTTTTTCAAAGATAAGAGCACATCTACTGCCTGTTTAACAGCATCTTTATCAGCTTTATTAGTTTTTAATGATCTTAGTGCATCCCCTTGTTTCTGTATCTGAGCATGAAGATCAATAGCTTTAGCACCTTTTCCTGAACTAGCAGCACTAGTTGTATTATCACATTTGAAACCTGCCATTTCAATATCAGGTTTCCAATCGGCACTAGTAATTTCTTTAAATTCTTTCTTTAATGCTAAAAGTATATCAACTTCTTGCTTCACAACATCCTTTTCTGCCTTAGTGGCCTTCAAAGTTCTTACCTTTTCACCTTGTTCCTTTATTTTGTTGTGCAGTTCAAGCACATTTCCACCCTTAACAGGAGATAGAGCTGGTGTTGGGGAAACAATGAAAAACTTGGGCATGTCAATGTCTGGTTTCCACTCACTGCTTGTCAATGTTCTTAACTCCTCCTCAAGCACCAAAAGAGGATCAGCTTGTTTATTGGTATCTTTGTCAGCCTTACTGGACTCCAGGTTCCGAACTGTGTCACCTTGTGCTTTTATCTGGGAATGTATTTCTATGGCACTCTTTCCTGTAACAGGCTCTATAGGAGTTGCAGTTGGAGCAGTAGAAGGAATGACACTATCTGGTTTCCACTCAATTCCAGCTGCATCCTGGAAATCCTTTTTCATTTCTTTCAAAATCTCTACTTCAGCCAACACAACATTCTTGTCTGCCTTATCATTCTTCAATTGTCTAATCTTATCACCCTGGTCTTTGATAGTATTTAATAACCTCTGGCTCACTGTCACACCAGATGCCCTAACTACAGGTTTTCCTTCATCACGAGGACTTCTTTCTGCCTTTTTACCTTGAGCACTCTTGGCTCGCTCTTTCTCACTCATACTTGCCAATTTCTTGATGGATGAAGCAGTTACCATATCCTTTGAATGACCATCTGGGATAGAGAAGAGTATGACTGGACTTTCCTGGCAGCTGCTCAGACTTACTGGCTTGTAAGCTTCATCCACTCTGAAAAAGCCCTTCCTCTGGAGCTGTATAATATCTCCAGGCACCAAATTTTGAAGTTCTGCATCACCAATCATTTTTACTTCAGCACGTGTGTTGTGTCCAATATAATCTTTGAAGTTTTCATCTTTTCCAAGAACACTCTTACTGATAAGGTGGTCAAAGTACACACAGACAACAGGTGTGGGGGAAGCTTTAACAGTATCTGCGAGCCAAGTGAGCTTTACTGTCTTCTTGTAGTCTGTGTCCTCAAGATTAGGTTCCCCATCAATAGACACTATTTTTTCATTGTTCTTGTTGATTTTTGTTATCATAATATTTCCCCAATTGATAAAAGTGGTATTCTGCCCTTCCTTCAAATCGGCAGCATCTGCAGCCTCAATTAAAACATGGGGACCAATCCACACAGTTTTCATGCCAATAGATGTATTTTTAGGGTGTTTCTGAGCAGTAGTAGCCTCCTCTTTGATGCCATTAATATGAACAAGCACCAAGTGCCCTTGAAGTGCTGTATAACGAGGAGCATAATGATCTATTACCTTTTTATTGAAAGCCCAAATCTTGTCCCACTCCATGTTCACTACAGAACGAGACAAACCTTGTGCAACAATAAAATCTTTCAGTCCTTCTACAGTCATACCACGTCGCAGAATGCCTCTAACAGTGGGGAATCTTGGATCATCCCATCCATCAACAAGTCCTTCCTCTACAAACCAAGTAAGTTTCCGCTTGGACAAGACAGTGTTGTTCATGTTCAGACGTGAATACTCACAGATGTGCAGGGTTCTCAGTCCAAGTTTCTCAATGAACCAATAGTACTGATCATCACGATCATGATACTCTGTTGTTCTGAGAGCGTGAGTGACCCCCTCTAAACTATCTACAATAGGACAGGCAAAGTCATAAGTTGGATACACCTTGTACTTGTCGCCTTTCCTGACATGAGGCTCATTCTTACAGCGATAGATTGTAGGATCACGCATACAGCCATTATCACTCTTCATATCAATCCTAGCCCGTACACAGCAAGTGATGCCGTATTCTGTTCCCTTCTTCATCTCCTCCCACATTGACAAATTCTTCTCAACAGAATTGCTATAATTTTTGCTTTCCTTCCTTTCCTCACGCTTTTTCTTCATTGTCTCGCCATCGGTATCATCACAATATGCATGACCCTGCTGGATGAGTTGTTCACACATGTCAATCATGCGGTCAAAGTAATCTGAGGTGCGAGTAAAAATATCTGGCTCAATATGCAGTAGTTTCAAATCCTCCAGAATAACTTTTTCATAGTCCAGCTTCTCTTTTTCAGGGTTGGTATCATTAAACCTCATAATCAGTTTTCCCTGAAATACAAACAGGACAATTATCAGTTCTCCCAAAATTCCTCAATTATCAATTAAGCCTTTACCCACATGTTCAATAAGATGGTCAAGTGACTGACTGGTATTCACCAAATATTATATTACTAACAATCTCTACCTTAAATTTTTAGTTGGCATTATGATTCAAAACCTCTGAGAAATGCTACTTGCCAGTTTAAGTAATACACCAATTAAAAAAGTAATTTGTTAAACATTACAACTATTAAGTTTCACTATCTGAAATCACGTGATGGAATTATTTGTTTTATACCCTGCATACTGTACTAATATTCTTATGTGTAACATGACACAGAACAAGGAAGTACTGTATACAGAATATATGGGATTTCAAGGAACTAGAACTAGGTGAATAAACCTGCACCAAGAAAAAGCTCCTGGAAAGAATTTAAGGCATCGAAGATTGTTTTACAATGCTTCTGGCACTGACATTTGAGGTCAAATAAGCAAAGTTATTTAATCAAACTACAGAATATAATATAAAGAACATATTTTAAAGTTTTAGTATATACAATGTTTAAGATGTTTAATTAGTTTAAGATGAAAACTATGCACTACCTAATTAACTCCATGTAACCTACCTTACCCTAAATGTCAACCCATATCTTACTATTTTTAAACAATGCTGTTTGTTGACCAACTTGTATATTGGCTATTTTCTATCATGTTCCCCCCCTTATTTACCTTTTATTTTTTTCTTTCAATGCAATTTATACTTTAAGCTCTATTACTATTAGTTTTAGTCTAAGTGTTTTTTCCCCACCTCACCTTGCCCGAAACACTATGCATACTAGTGGCTTTAGGTATTTTATGTCCTACCTCTATCTATAAATCCAACATTATGTTCGTAACTAATCTTCTATGTATGTACTTTTACCTGAATAAACATTTGATTTGATATACTTTCACCTATACCTCTAAATGGTGTTATAAATGCAAACGGTCTGCCCCTTCTAGGGTAACATGTGCTGCTCCACAGGAATTCAACATTAATGCCCACCATTAGTTTAGAGCTGTACCTTTCACTGTGATCCCTGCAACCTTAAGAGAGCAAACATTGCAGTTCCCACTGCAGAACATCTGTGGCAGACTCGGGGTAATGCTACATTCATACTCTGGATATCACTCTCCCACTATTAGTGCCAGGGGGTCATTCCTGTGTGTTCCATTCGCAAGTGGGAGCAGTGTCATCCATTATGTGACATTTTTTACATGTCCAGGGATTGGCCACCTCTTATCTCTCCCGATGTGTTGGGACCCTCAATTGTATCCTAATTCTGCCGCCACCAAGCCGATTGAATGCTTGGGCAAAAATTCTCAAAAGGAAGCTAGATTCTTAGCTTCTAGAAGCTAGCTTTGAAGCCCATTAGATAATGGGCTTCAAATAACAGATTTTGTTTATCATTTCATTTCCAATTACATTAATATGTTTTGGAAGCCAACAAAAGCTTATGTTTATGCAACTTTGGCAGAATAAGCCACCAAGAATTGAATTAAAGTTAAGTGATGATATGACTCTAGGGCCTGAAACATTCATGGAATCACAGTACTATATTTGGTATATTTTTCCATTATCCAAGGTTCAACTGATCTTTATGGCAAATCATACAGCCAAGCATTCTGCTGTGAATACCAATGCCACATGCAAATTTAGAAACACCTGTATATGGCTAGGACACTGCTAGTAACCTCTGATACAAAGTTGTGATTGAAAAACAGTACAATGTAAATGTACTTTAACTACAATCTGAGCTGGATTAAGTCTCTTCCCGTATCAGTGTTACATGACGGGAAGAGTCAAAGCCTGCACACCTTGACTAGGCCTCGAGGATTAACTATATATAACTAAAAAGAATGAACAAGGGGAAAAAAACATACAAAATCAAACTATCATTTTACCTTAAATGCCAACTGATAATATTGATTCAGGAGAGCCGCTTTGGCATGCCCAATGTGAAGGTAACCACTAGCCTCAGGAGAGAAGCGAACAACTACCTCCCCAATCTTTGCTCCCAAAAGTTCAACAAACTTTCCTCCTCCTCCTTGCTTAACACCCAATACTGATTTTTCTGGAGAAGCTGCAGAGATTTTGGAAGAATCAAAGGCCTTCTTGACCTCATCTGGAAGGGCTGTGATGATACCACCAACCTAGAAGAGAACTAAAGTATATTTATTTGCCTATACAAAAAAAAAAAAAAAATCCTTTGAAAGATATTTTGTAATAAAAAAAAATCCCTAACAACAACAACATTACTGTATTAGAAAAATGGAAAAATGATAAACTCTGGCCGAGTACTGTATGCAAAAACTTTGGGTAGAACACCTCATTTTCTAGGAATTACCACTAAAAGGAAAGCCTAATGATATACACTTGTCAATGTTGGCATAAAGACAGCCACAATGCACCTTGTCCTGGAGCATTCACATCATCACTAAACTGATGTACTAAACTGCCTGAACCTAACCTGAGAACCCACGAATAGAAAATGGAACATCACATCAATGTTGAGAGCCACTAGGATGTTTAGTACAGCAGTTTTTGGACTTTGGGAATTTATATATCAAAATGCAATGTACTATTGGAGACGATGGGTTATACAATGTCCCCCATCCCCCCCAAATCCCCATTCAGAGATCCAGCCATCAGAAATAGATAGTGTTGAAGACATCTGCCTCCCACTCTACCGTGCAGCTCCACTACTATGAAAAACTATAAAATCAATTATTTCAACATCATACTGATGTGAAAGTAAAGATCACAATACCTGAGTCGCCATAAAATTATACCAACGCTGCACATTCACTGGAGCTTCATTACTATCCAACAGTGCGTGCCATGCTGCATTGCCTGAAAATATTAAATTAAATTTAGAAATAATCTTCTCTAAACAAACACTTCTGGCTAAAAGAATTACAAAAAATGACAATGCATACAGCAATATTTAGGAAAAGAATATATAGAAATAGGTGAAACATGGCTTAACTGAACAAAGCCAAACCACAAGTAAAGTTCCAATGAATCAACAGGAAAAATATAGTCAAATAAGGAGGAAAATATACAGCACCAATAGATAGAAAAAATGTATCAAGTATAATTGAAAAAATGCAGCAACTTTCTGAATAAAATACTGTAAATATCAGTGTGCATGAATAATTCATGAATTACATGGCAAACAGCATGGAACATCTGTGAGAAGAGAGACATTTAATGTAAAGAAATTTTTTTTTTAGAAAAATTAGAATAGCCAATATTTCTAAAGTACGTTGAGAAGAATGTTTTCAGCAATATACCAAGAAATTACCGTACTGATTAAATCAAACGTAAAGAAAAAGTATGTAGTAAAAACTGTAAAAGAGTTCATAAAGGCTTGGAACCAATTTCTCTAATGAAATGAAATCACAAGCAATGTGTTGCTATCTATAATCTTCTACCCCTATAGGCTACTTGCCCACTTATTTTTCCACGCTAACAACTATCCCATGAAGGAATGGTTAAGGAATGTGGCAAATGTTTCCTTTCAACATCATTAACTAAAAATATTCACCTTGTACTTTCATCTTTTTCAAATTCAGCTAGCAATCATTTTTTCATAACAGTACTGTACCAGCTATAGAAGCTCCAATTCTGTTTTACCCTATTTCAAGTGTGTGCCCTACAATTATACCAACCCACTAATACTTTCAAATTAATAAATCTACTTGATAATTATGGTGCTGCTACATATTCCTCATACAGCCACCAACCTAAGCTTCAGTTCAACATGAACATTTCAATAAATTTCCATATACCATACAGTACATCTTTCATACACTATCCCATAAAACCTATTAAAGTGTACTGTTCACAATTACTCCTAACCAATGAATAGAATTGTTTCCCAAAAAGCTTCACATCTTAGCAGTTTTTTACTGAATTACAGTATCAAATTTAACAAATGCACGTTATTTCCTTTTATTAGATAATTACACATTAATAACCGTTGGTCTTTTATTTTTGACACTGTATCCTCTCTAATTTGTAATCCCCTATGTCCTACAACTCCATTGCTAAAATAAATCCAGTCTCTTGCAACCCCAGACTTGCATGTAACTTCAGAATTCATGAAACCTGTAACAAGAAATGTAAGCTTGTTAAAAATAATAATGTTTCAGACAATGCTAAGTTAAAAAAAAAAACTTACTGTAAAGTGCAGCAAATACTTCAAAGTCTGCGACAGTGACATTCTTTCCCACTAGAACCTCTGAAGGAGCAAGAGCCTTATTCAACTGGTCAAGGGTGGCACTTATGTCTTCTCCTCCACATAACAATGGACCCGATGCTATAGACAACCAATGGTCCACCTAAAAAATAAGAAATTTCACTGTAAAATTTGGTTATTCAATAAATTACGAGGTGCCATACCTGGCAGTGCTCGGGCACCCCCAGATTTGTCTCTGTTGACAAACGCTCTGGATACGCTGTGGATCTTCTCCAACGCCAGCATTCATCAGTGTTACAATGATGTAACACTCGACAAGTCTAGTTCCATCTCTCTCAAGACGCTACAGCATCACTACCAGTAATCTCAGCCGTGTTCATGTACTGTATGTAGGGCATTCTTGTAATTGTATCTTTTCCACCACTACCCAGTGGATGGATGCGAGGGATACATTAAAGACAAATTAAAATTATCTAACTAGCTCCCCACAAATGTAAATTACAAATGCTTAAATATCACTGGGGGGTTTGGTATCTAAACCCATTATGTGACTACTCTTTCTATTGTGATAACATTATGATAATACAGGATGAATATGGGGATCACAAACTAAAAGCTTAAATTTACTTTACAGTAAGGGAAAAAAATGCCAGAACAAATTAATTCATCTTTCCTACATCGATTCCTGTTTTCTTGTCGATTTATATTTTCATCAATTTCTTCTACATTTAAAATTAAAAGAAACCTCTTTTCATATATAAAATATGCGCTTTCCAAGGTTATAAATCTACTAACAAGCATAAATCCATATACTGCACACACATCTTGTACATAGATAGCATGGTATATCATTCAAAGTTACACGACATACATTGTGTACAATTTTTTTTTTCAAAGTTATGAGGTTCAAATATAATGGTTGAAGGAAGCATATTTGCAGATATTTGCCACTACAGTACTGTACTGCATAAAATGATAAGTCGAGTTGGCTTTGCTATCAACCACTGGAAGCATTTACTGGCTCCAGGAGCTCATTTAGAAGGTCAGGACACTTTCAGATTGATTTGATTATGCATTTTAATCTGAAAAATTACTAATTTTGATATACAGTACTGTAAGTTTTTAACAGACATGTATAGTACAGTACTAAAAATTACCTGTAAGGTCTTTATGAGAATGCACCCACATATTCTGCAACAGCATTTTGTTACCTCTTATCAAGACCACTAACCTTTTTTGAAGCACAGGCTGAACAGAACAAAATTAATAATTATATACACTCAATTATTATTTATAAATTACAGAACGTATTGCATTACTGTAACAAAAAATCCAGCAAAATTTGGTGATACTGTAGTGAAAAGAGTAATATTTCCAAAATCCAGATTTCACACATCTGGTTCCATCCAGAACTATAACAATTCAACTTCCATCGGTTTGGATAAAGTTTTAATTTATAAAAAAAAAAAAAAAAGTTACTTCATATTTTTTTGTGAAGCTGGGTGCATTTGTCCTATGAAACATCTGAAAACAAAACAAGGTACAATACCTCAGTTTGGTGGAGACTGTGACTAGGATACAGTTCCAAGGCGGGGTTGACTTGAGCCACATGTCTGGATATGCTATGTGAAGAGGTGAGGCTGATTGAGTCTGTCAAGTCTAAACAGGTATTTTTGCCCCACTCCACAGAAACACCAGCTTTAGAACATGTTAGCAGTGCCCCTGCAATGGATAAAACAAACAATTTCTTAATGTACTACACAAGAAATATTAACACATTCATTAATGTGTTCATATTCTGATGACTTGCGTGTATGTTCACAAATTATTAATCTTATTGTTGTACTGTTCCAATCACATTCCACACGAGTGGTAAACATGTTTTGCTTCTAGTAAATAAAGGTATTGTACTGTGCATATATAAAGGGAGAAATTGTAAGCTATGTAAATTATATTTTATTTATAAAAAATACTTAGTATCAGATTACAGTGGATACTTAGTAAATACAATATTTGTACTGTAGATTTAATAAAGCCACTAATTATGTGCAGCTTTCCTGCATAACAAGATATTAATTGCAGCAAGTTCTAAAAAATATTGATTAATACTGTACATGAACTTCATGATCACGGCATAGTATCTCCTGTGCTAGGTAAAATTTCATGTTCCAAACTCCTTTGAACTTGGAACCTGAACTTTTAACAGCCAAATAATGGTCAATGAAATCTGATTAAAACATTTTGGGCATTCTGTAATCTTTTTGGCACTACCATTAACTGGAAGAATATCGGCAGGTTAATAAAGCTGCTCCCGCTGGCAGAAACAATAAAATAATTTAAGGGGTACTGTATCACAGTAGGGTCAAGTCGCTGGTCTCTGGACACTAACTTATTGATGTTCAGTGAAGTCTAGACTCATTATACCGTATTAGGGGTTATTGGAAGTTTTACAGGATCTAGAGACCATTTTTCTATTAAAAAAGACACTGAAATGTATGCTGTAAAGGCAATGCCCACAGAACTTAACCAAAAAAATGATGCCCAGAGTTTCATCACACATCCAAGTATCTTCATACCCCTGGCACCATCCTCCTGATAGTAAGACATCACCTAGGTGAAAAGTAAATAGTTATTATAGGATCCCTCACTTCCATACTATTAGACAACTCTTAAAATTACACACCTGGTTCCCAGATGTTTGATCCCATAGCTATTTGGCGACTAGAATTTTTGAGTGTCAGGCACTCTTAATAGGTTTTCCCAATGTTCAGGGCCTCATTTCTTGGGAACCACAGAGCATTTAGATCTGATATTAGTAGGTAGCAGGGTGTCAGTACAATAGTGTTTTCATATTTTTCAGTACAACTTTTTTGTTGCTCATGCAAATGAGGATTAGAAACCAAACATCAATGTTCAATGATATTTCTTGGGAGTCAGTGTGCCAAGGTTTGATACTAATATGCAAGAAAGCATTATGCATTTGACATGTGAAGGTGGCTCTTTAAATTGATAAGACGCTGATTTATGAAGACCTGACAAAAAAAATTGGTTAGGGTACAGTATTATACAGTAGATCTCCAGATTATAGAACTGTATTTTAGATAGGCAAGTACTGTATTATAGAATGCAGACAGTTTTTTTTACCTATAATACACCGTTCTAGACATTACATCCTACAGAAAAAAGTTAAATATAAATACCAATCTTATGTAATCTCACCAACCCATTGTACTTTCTTGTAAATAAATTATTATTATTACAAATCCTTAAATTGTACAAGAACCCCCTATTATATCCTGAAAATGAATAGTGTATATTTTTTTTTTCTTTTTTTGAGATATATACAAGAGTTGTTACATTCTTGTACTCTATTTCATTGTTTCATTCTTGTATTCTATTTGATACTTTTCACATTTTAAAATGGGTAGGGTATATTTAAAATTACTGTACTGGCATTTTTTTTGTCTTGTTGAAATCAACATTTACTGCCCTCACAAGGATCAAATTGTGTGAAACCCCAGCTAGGCTTCAGTGGAAGCCTCGGGACCTTTGTGGGGGCAGTAGCACTCCAGATTACAATTCTTTTACCATGTTATGGTACAATTGACTAAAGCGCGTCTGGGAACACTTTGCTCATAGGTTCAAACCCTCATCAAGGCCAGTGTGGATTTGTTCATTTGATATACAGTATCACGTTATTGCGATTTGTGTGTAATAATAATAAATTATTATTATCATCCCTAGTCAAGACTAAATCTGTGCAAACACTCATGCAAATAAATGGACCCAGTCTATGGAACTCCCTAATGAATTAAACAATTGTCCAACCTATGCTCTATTCAAAAGTAAAACCAAAAGTACCTAATTACACAATTTTAGTACTCAAGACATGCAACATCACCAGTATAATCAATTCAATCAATTTTAATTGTAGTTATTAAGTTGAAATCAAAATTTGCTACAATGTACCTTTTAATTTCTCTTACTTTTATCCGTTAGATTAAGGACCTGCCCAAAACACTATGCATGTTAGTGGCTTTGCCAGAATGTAAGAATACCAATGTTATGTTCTCTTTTGTATATACTGTAAATAAATGAAAACTACCAACCTTCTCCAGGATGTAACCCACAACCACCTCACTCCTGGGTACCTATTTTACTCATCTGTTCATCTGCTAGATAATTCTAGCAGATGAATAGATGAACAAATTCTAGATAAACAGAGGCATCAGGTGAAAGGAAATGTGCCCAACCATTTCTGTCCCATCTGGTAATTGAACCCAGGCCCTTCGGTTGTGGGCCAAGGATGGAGACCAAGTCTAGTTGCACAGTTCGATTGTCTCCCGTTAAGTTTAAACGTCATTGTTCGCGTACCACCAGTGTTGAATAGTTCATCCTTGTCTACCTCTGTCAATTCCCCCTGAGGATTTTGTAGGTAGTGATCATGTCTCCCCTCACTCTTCTGTCTTCCAGTGTCGTAAGGTGCATTTCCCGCAGTCTTTCCTCGTAACTCATGCCTCTTAGTTCTGGGACCAGTCTAGTGGTATACCTCTGAACTTTTTCCAGCTTCGTCTTGTGCTTGACAAGGTGCGGGCTCCATGCTGGGGCCGCATACTCCAGGATTGGTCTTACGTATGTGGTGTACAAGATTTTAAATGATTCCTTATACAGGTTCCTGAACGTTGTTCTGATGTTAGCCAGCCTTGCATATGCCGCAGACAATTCTTTGTATGTGGACTTCAGGAGACAGGTTTGGTGTGATATCAATTCCTAGATCTTTCTCTTTCCGTTTCATTAAGTACTTCATCTATTCTGTATCTTTTGTCTGGCCTCCTGTTTCCACTGCCTAGCTTCATTACTTTGCATTTACCCTGGTTAAACTTTAACAGCCATTTGTTGGACCGTTCATTCAGTCTGTCTAGGTCGTCCTGTATCCTCCTCCTATCATCCTCTGCTTCAATCCTCGTCATAATTTTTGCATCATCAGCAAACATTGAGAGAAACGATTCTATACCCTCTGGAAGATCATTTACATATATCAGAAACGGTATTGGTCCAAGGACCGACCCCTGCGGGACTCCACTTGTGACGTCACGCCAATCCGAGACCTCGCCCCTCACATATGACTCGTTGTCTCCTATTGCTTAGGTACTCCCTTATCCAACAGAGTACCTTCCCTCTCACTCCAGCCTGCAACTCCAGCCTGCATGTCCAGCTTTCTCACTAGCCTCTTGTGTGGCACTGTATCAAAGGCTTTTTGACAATCCAAAAATATGCAGTCTGCCCACCCTTCTCTTTCTTGCCTGATTTTTGTTGCCTGGTTGTAGAATTCAATTCAATGTGTGTGTGTGTGTGTGTGTGTCATCCCATGTTACTACTACAACTATCTCCAGGAGTTTACACCACCTGCTACTGTAGATCTCACAACACACTATACCATCATAAGTCTTGGCCCGCCATGTGCCTCAATTCAGCACTCCTGTCATTATTACCACACACAAATAACTATACTTCAACACACCCAGGGGATCTCAGACTCCCAGGTAGAAAATATCTAAAGGAATTCCAATTATAAGTAGAATGTTGAAGCCATCGCCTTACCAAGAGGAGGATCAGTTTTAGATACAGTCACTTTCATGGCCGCGAGGTGAAGTGTGCGAGGAGCCGAGAGGTGCGACGTTGGGTCCCCTCCCGTGGTCGGGGCGAGACTGACCTCTTCCCTGCAGATGTCAACTTAATGCAACTGCCTCCATGTCGTTTCCTATAGCATTTCCTCTAGAACACTTTCTTATCTCGGTAACTTATAAACTGCAATGTTCTGGACAAAATTAGTATTTGTAAGGTGTATATAATTATTAATATACATACATCGATCGTTGAAATACAGTAATATGTTTCCCTGGTTGACTCAACCTTTACGCTATACAGTATTTGGAAAGATCCATATATGGCACGTTGCACTAGTTTTATTGAAATTAATACCGGCACTTATTTTTTTTATTTTTGCCCCGAGGGGCGAGTTTATTGGGCAGCGTCACTCATCCTGTGAATGGTCATACCGCCGTAACAGCATGTACAACACTCTCCAATAGGAAGAAAACCCGCTGGGTTGTTCATCCTGTTACTTGTACCGAGACACACCTGGGACTTGCTTAACTGTCTCAAGTGAACAGCTCCTCAAACAAGAAGATTAACATCTATCAACCCTTAAAATCTTACGTTATCTTGCGGGTGCAAAATGGGGGAATCTTTTGAGAACAGTATCAACATTTGACAAATAGTGTTTTCCTAACTCAAACAATGTGGGGGTTTATTATTCTACACATATTTCTAATGTCTCTCAGGTGTTCACATTCACGTAGATATTTGCAACTTCGCTGATTAACTGTTGTTTCCATTCCGAATCGCCATTAATATTTGTATCCAAGACGGATTCTCGTTATTACTGATTCTCTCCCGCATCCACCTCCTCTTCGTCCATAATGATTGGGATTGCCAGCTGCAACCTTGTTGCATTTATGTGGTAACAGAGCATGAAGTCCTGAGAATGGACCGGCGTTTAGACAGAAAATTATGTAAAATCTCTAAAATGCAGTGATGGAAGCAGCTGCAGTGAAGTGGTGAAACACCTTTAACTTTCACAACTTTAAGGGAAGGTTCGACAAAGATAGTGATTGTTAAAATAGTGAAGTTTCAATGCAGCGGGTACAACAAGGCTAGTAGGTGGGACCTCACTTAACTTCCCCATGCAGCCGCGTCCAACAGCCTGGTTGACCAGTCCAGCAACGAGGAGGCCTGGTCGAGAACCGGGCCACGGGGACGCTAAGCCCCGAAATCATCGCAAGGTAGAGAAACCCGGTAAATTAAGAGCATTTTTCGCGTGAATACTAATTCTGGCTGGTCTACAAGCCTTATGTAAAAATTGTGATTTTTGATAGAGACCGATTTGTGCATTGTCAAAAATCACATCATTTTGTTTATTGTTAATAACAATTAGCAATAAAAATGACGGAAAATTCCTTGGCCTATACATAAACAAGACTCAATTTCAGCACCCACATACAACACACAGTCTCAAAAAAGTCTCAAAAACGGTAGTTATACTTTCTAAAATCAGATATTATGTTCCCCATTCTGCTCTCCTCTCATTATATACTACGCGCTAATCTATTCCTATCTAACATAAGGTATCTGTTCATGGAGTTCAACCACTGTAAATTACCTCAAGCCTATCATCATTCAGCAAAAATGTGCTATCAGAACTATAACAAACTCTATCTTCAGACAACACACAGCCCTTCTGTTTAAGTCCACATACACTCCACACATTCTCATGTGCTATCTACATGTACAAAACCCTTGTTCCTAAATGCTAATCTTGAATTGAAACTTTTCTTTGATAGATGTAATAGAATCTATGAGCACCACACCAGAAATAAATATATTTTTGATATCCCCAGAGTCAAACTAAATCTGTGCAAACACTTCATGCAAGTAAAAGGACCCAGTCTATGCCACTCCCTCCCTGATGAATTAAAAAATTGTCCAACCTATCCCCTATGCAAAAGTAAAACCAAAAAGTACCTAATTTCATCCTCATAGTTTCTTACCGTGTGCTTCAAACTCGCACTGTAACTTGTACTACCCACTTTCCCCAATATTAGTACTTAACACATATATCTTTACCAGTGTAATCACCTGTCAAATTATATTGTAGTTATGTGTTGATATAAAACCTAGCTACAATGTACCTTTCCATCTTACCTGATATGTTAGACTAATTAATTTAAGGACCTGCCCGAAATGTTATGCGTGTTATGATTTTGCATGAATGTAAAAATACCAATCTTATATAATTCACCAACCCATTGTACCTTCTAGTGAATAAATTATTATTATTATTATTAAGAAGGTATGTTCTTGATGATAAAGGAGCGACGACGATCCAGGGATCGGGTGCGCCCTTCTAGAAGGTATACATTAGTCTAATTGGACTGGTAGGGCGACGCGCCTTCCTTTTTTATTACAAGGTTGGCGTTTGATACCCAATGACCAAGCACTGTGCCTTCTCTCAGTACTCTGGCTGCAACTCCTATCCTGCCCTCATAGCCCATCAGAGTGCTATACAGTATAGTCATATAGTCATACTGGCTTAGTGTAGCATCATTATTAATAGTCTACATTTGTCCCCGGCCCGGGCCTTCAATTAACATCCTCGCTTTTTCGATTTAAATTGTACCTGATTTTACGTGAAGACCACCTCACTAGCGGCCACGACGAGGACAGGAAGACGGCGTCTTGTCAAAGGCATTTAATTGAACATTTGTTGAGACCCGAACCGAGCTCTCATCAATGCAAAATGCAGCTAGGTGGGCGGCTGCCTCCTTAGAAGGAAGGGGCCGTAATGACACGTTTGCCAGTCCGGATGGGGTTAAAGGTTCCATAGGTATCCAGACTCAACAAGATGCCTATGTTTAAGTAAATCATCGGATGGTGGGGGGGGGGCAGGTTTGTCCATCATGAAACATCAAAATTCTTTGGCCGTGTAGCGGGGCCAAGCAAATTATGGTACATAGTCTAATAGTGTTTGAATGATCATGCAAATAAGGTGTCTTGGTGCCAAATTAAGGGAGAGGGGATAAAAGGCAGTTATCACATTAAAAAATGGAGCAATACCAAATGATCTGTCACCAATGAAGACTTCGAGCTCGACCCTGCCATGGAAGTGGGAGAGGGAATGAAGAGGATCAGTTAAAGTTAAATATGAAGCCTAGTCTTGGCCCAAAGCTGGGGGCTATGGAGGTGGGTGGGTTCTTCCATCACTGTCCAACTCGCGAGCCTGGTCACCCGCCTGTGTATGAATTAGTGGATTCAGTAACCATATATCACTGTTTTCAAAGATACATTCTCCCACACTGTTGCAAAGATCTCTTCCTCCCTCTCACCTTTGCCTGGACGATTTAGGGCGGGGTCCCTGGCGAGTGGTCCGACGACTCAAGACAGGTACACTACGTTTTGTCTCCTTCCCAAGTAAACCGCCTGGAGGGGAGGCCAAAGTAACCCTAATCGTACTAGAACCCCCTCACTATGGCAAGGGAAGACTATACAGGGTCACAGGATGGTAATCAAATCCACATTATAGCACTGGAATACAAATATTAACTGAGAACAAGTGGGTTACTTCATTTACCCGGATTCTATTTCCAATAGAATCTCTTATAGCAAATCTTAACATTTTCCTCACATTTCCCCATTCTTTATGGCTATTTCAGGAACATTAGTATAGTATAAGTTATATAGAACCTAAATTTCCCCAGCTATCAGTAGGTTGTCTAATCATTTCAGGTATTTCATAAAAGTTAAAATAATCCAAATGAGAATCTTTCAATTTATTCCACGCACAATTTATATATATATTGCATTACAATCCAGCGAACAACTTTAATGGCTTTGAAAGGGGAAAATGCAGTGAATAAATACATAAATAGTGTTCCTTTAAGATTTTTACATTAAAAGACTGCTTTTCACCCAGCTTTTTAAAAGAAACCAATATGGCTTATACACCTTTGTTTGCATTGCCTGGATTGGTTTGTATTTTTCTTTTTATAAAATAAAGCTAAATATTATTGTTAAAATTCTAATTACCATTTACATGGTTAGTTTTAAATACTGTTATGTTATGTAACACTAAACATTTTGCAAGAAACTTACATGAATCAAGAAAATGTGATCAATTAGCCTGTAACTATTAATCATGGCATCTGCCATAGCTTCAAGAAAGCTTTTCAAGGGCTTGTAAATAAAAAGTGTTTTGATTCATTCTTCAGCAGTAGTAGTTCAGTTATTAGCACATACAGTAACTTATAATCCAGCACAAAAACACTGTCATTAATGAAATCTTATTTTATTCTACCTATACATTCATTTATAACAGAATCTACCATGCAAGAATAGTCGGATATACAAACTTTGCTTTATGTATCTTTACATAAAATCTGATCACTGATCCTATAGGTAGTTTATTACTTTGGGATATTGAAATAGATTCTGCATTGTTACTTGTATTGCTGTATTGTGCCCCAAAGGCACTTGAACATTGACAAGGTGTCATTGCAATCTTTAACAGATCATATCTATCTATTATTGTATCATAAACAGGTGTAGTTTTTTATTATTTTTACACACACAAGTACATATATTTGAACTAATACTTTGTTGAATATGAAAGTTGAAGTGACCTTTCCGAAAGAGAAAAAGTAGGTTCTCGGGAAGAAATCACATTTTACACAGTACCTGGCTGAGTAATTAGTACAGATGGGCACACTCAAATGACCTGGGGACACACTAGTGACCTGGGAACACTCAAGTAACCTGGGAACACATTGACTTTGAAGAAAGTCTACTATTACAACTATATGAGCAAGTACAGTAGTACTGACAAAGCTAACGTCTTCATTGTCTAAAGATCGAGAACTATTTAAGCTTGGTGGGAAAAAAAAATACTGTATAGCATTATCAGGTTGCTAAACTGAAAGTAGGTAAATGCCACCATGCATATGACAACTGAAAAAATTTACATTAAAAAAACAAAAATAAACTTACTGGGAGAGTTACGATGGCGGGATGTACTTAAAATATGTACAAAGCTTACTTAATTTTATTGCCTCATCATTTCATAATAGTTCACTATCTACTGAAGACAAACTTTGGACTATACAAATGATTTAGGGTCAGCTCGAAAACAAATGTTCAACAAATTGTGCAAATATTTAATAAAAAAAATTATCTACCAAAATTTTTAGCCAAATATCCCCAGTTTGCTAGTAAATGTGGATAACTAGCCTTTCCACCGCTGCCCATTGGACGGTGGTTGGTGTGTGAGATTAGCAAATCAAAGAAACTAGCTCATCACAAATTTACGCAACCCGTCCTCTTACAAATTACTGTACGTCACTTTTTGCTTGTCTGCACACTCAGGCTAAAAATCGACGTACAAGTTATTCAAAATGAAATCGGCTCACGAAAGTGACGTACTGTCCTGTTTTCTGTTTTGGGTTCTCTGGCTTAGGCTGTTAGGTTAGGAGAGGAAACTTTCAATTAACGGTTTTCATGACATTTTGAAACCTTAGAACTCCCTGCCCTCCTAGCCTACCAGAAGACCCTTAACTTGCCATTTTAGAAAAAATTCCAAAATTTATTTTCAATTTTCTAATTAGGGTCTTTTTTGGCCGTAGCACATATGAACGAAAAGCGACGTAATTTGTAAGGGGACAGGTTGAATTTACGTTACTTAGCTATGACTATGCTTGTACTTGTAATTGTTTTTCAAACCCATTGTTAATATATACATCAAACTATGTAACTAGCTTCCCTAAATGTATTTTTTGGGGGGTTCAGTTTATGAGTTCATTATGTGCATCTTTATTCTTTTTCCACTACTGCCCACAGGATGGGTATGGAAGGCATAATAAATGAACTAAATTAAAAACTAATTAAAATGCTCTTCCCTAGGGTGATATATAGAAAAGTTTTGTTCAAGCTAATTTGAAGTTTGAAGCTTCCAAAGTGGAAGCTCTCTATTTTGGTACAGTACTCAATTTCAGCTTCTTCATTCCGGTACAATTCTATGGCATACTCTGCACAATCTCAATTCTAGATTATCCTCAACTGTACATCTAATAATGTCCTTGACTTTTCTTTATTATATTACAAAATAAAAATGGTTGATTCATAAGAGGAATAATACAAATTAAAAAGAAAATAAAAGCCAAGCATCTTGAAAACCAGTCTTACAAATTCTGTGCTTTGATAATACTGCCTTTCTTTGTTGTTAGTAAAGTACAGTGGTACCTCAGTTTATGAATTTAATGTTCCCAGGGACGGCTCCTAACCCGAAACGAATTTTCCCATAAGAAATACAGTAATGAAAATTGAATCAATCCTTTGCACACTCCCAAAAATATTAACCTAAAAATACATTTCATACATAATACACTCAAATTATTTGTACTATAGTATGTACAAGTTATAGCTTACCTTTACTGATGACTCTTGTTGGCATATGGAAGACAGTGAGGAGGGGGAAGGGGGAGGAGGAGAGGAGTGTTTGGAAGGGAGTCCCCCTTCCATTATAACATCAGGCAGTGATGACTTCTCTTGGGTATTCCCTCCTACGTTTTGTTTGCATACCACTAGGACCTGGTTATGGCTCACTGCTCGTTTGTCTCACCAAGAACCTTTCCATAGAAACTTGTTTTTTCCTACGTCTTAACACTTGAGGCATCACAGTGTCATTAAAAAGGTTAAGCAATGGCCTACTGCAGCTTGCTCTGGGTGAGTCATTTCAACAAAGCTTTGCATTTCTTTCCATAGTCTACACCACTTCTTAATTGTTGAGGAAGGGACATTCTGTAGTGCCTCCTACTCCACTTAAGAAATTTCCTCAGCTATCTCTTGTTGCTGCTCCTTGTGAAGGGCTAGGAGTTCTTCGGTGGTCAGTTCTTCACTGTGTTCTTCCACCAACTCAACACAACACTCACAGCTCTATGAATGCCACTTTTTCCAAATTTCTCCAACCATCCACAGCTTGCCTTAAACACTTTTGTATCTATCACTTGTTCCAGGGGTTTTCTTTGTAAGGTATTTATGCAATAGCCTTACTTTTTCACAAATGATGCCCTCTGAAACACTATCACCCACTAACTCCTTGTTGTGTATCCAAATAACTTTTCAACATCCTTTAGCACTCATAATGTCCTTTTTCTCAGCAAGTACAGTGCATATCGTTGACATAGATTTGTTGTACTGCCTAGCTAGTTCAACAGCCCATGTACTATTTTTCATGTTTACGAATGATCTTTTGTTTTTCCTCTATAGTCATCCTCACCTTTTCTTAGGTTGAACCTTACCACTGACTTTCTTGGGACCCATTATACTGTATATATTTACTTTTATGTTAAAAAGACAAACAAAAAATTGAAAAACAATGAAATTCTTTACAAAGAATTAACGCACGATTGTCACTAAGCGGGAGGCACTGGTAAACTGAAGCGGGTCGCCCATGCCACCCCAGGAACCATGTGCTCGGTCAACTCATACGTGTATCAACAAACTATGCAAGTCGAGGCAAAGTTCTTAACCCTATTTGAATTTTACAAGGAGAGTGGGCTCATAACCGGAAAAATTTGTTAAGAGGAATGTTTGTATCTCATGGTTCCACTGTACAGTACTGTATTTCCAAATAATTGACAATGGGATGAGCCCTGAAATGATGAGCCTCTTGGCCCTGAAATACTGAAATTCTTAAAATTATCTCTTTTTTTGAATACATTGTGTGTCATATTTGCAAATTAGTAAAAATATCAGGAAAATGAGGCGAAACAAATACTTTTTAAAAAAATTCATATATTTCTTATCGACAGAATTTCATATTTAATTCCAATTTTTTGTCCTAAAATTCTGGATAAAATTATTTCCCTATAACTTAAAATTTTCCATACAAGATTCAGAGAACATTTTAAGTATTTTATGCTACACTAAAATGTTAAAAATGGTTTTAAACTAAATATGTTTGCATAAGTATGTTTGTACAAGATCTTGCGACATGCTCCAAAATTCTTATAATTAATGACTTGGGTAATAACAATGCTTATCTCTACAGCAGTTGGTAATAATAGCAACAAATTTAAAGGCTTGATAATTACTGTAAGGGATTTCAATGCAGAACAATTTTTCCCTTAGCTTTAAAAGTGACAAATATCAGCCAACACAAGTCTTGTGTACCTCACGTGAACCCTTTATTGTCACATGATCTAAGCTCTTATCTAAGGGCTAAACAGATTTACATATAAAATTCAACTTTTAGAAATGAAGTACAACTAAATTTTCATAATATTGTATTACTGAAAGGTTATTAAACCATGTAAAAATATTAATACTGTAAGTCTATTTCAAGAATTATGAAAAAATATTTATTTTAGCACTAATCTTATATTCAGTTTTTTATTCTTACAGTACAGATTATGACCACACTTGATGGAATCTTAAAATATGTTTAGGAGGCCAGAGAAGCATCAGTTATCAATCTTCAAAATTTTACAAGTACTGTATTGGACTGAATTTGTCAAAATCATATTTACTGCATAAATTTCTCACATACAATAGAAATTTCAATATGATTTTTGACAAAAAGATACTATAACTGCTGTGTCCCACCAGCCCACCAACACACATTGGACCCGTGTAATGGACTACCCTCGGTGAGAAAATGTTCCAGAGGGATAATTATTGGGTGGATGACAGAGACTTGCTTGCTCAGGACCAGTTTATTTGGGTTTAGTTTCTTGATCTGTTACACGACGAATGAAGATGCAATCTTCTGGCATGGGATCCATCTGCTCTTGCTCATACATGTAGGAACAAGCAATTGCAAGTGTGTTACCTGAATAGGAAAGAAGAAATCTAATTGGAACATTTCTATATTTATCTGGACAAGGTGTAAGGCAGGGAACTACTGTGCATAAAAGACCTGATGTTTAAGCAAGTCATGGCATACAAATACAATTTAAGACTAGGAATACTTGATACAAAATATTTCATCAAATTATTTGTCCAGTAGGTAGGCAGATACACCATTTAGTCACTTTCAAGGTCGTCACGATCACACATCACATTTTCATACCTTCCTTTTAGCCCAACAGCGAAGTTTGACAGATTGTTAGCTCATGATTGCCATGCAAGTAAGCATTTATCAAGGTTAAAGTGCTAAACCAGTATGACTAACACAACACTTCAATATATAGTTCAATCAAAGAAATCAAATGCTATTAAAGTAACAATAGTGAGGAACATGAAAAGAAATTGGCAATGATCATGATGCTTTAATAGAAAACTTAAGACCAAAGACATGAATGGCAGGGTGGATGATCCAGAAGGCCAAAACAATTCCAAAAGGAAATGAACATAAAGAAGCCATGTGTGTGAATCATATAGTGATGGATGGCAGTTGGCCGATGTAAAAGGTACAGAGGAGTACCTGCCCAAATTTGCCGAGACTTTGTATGCCAATACATCAAATATTCTAAGCATCATTCCAAGAGCGCACGTTTAATTTATTTCTAGTTCCTATAGTATTTAATAATGAACTGTTACAAAATTGGATGAATTTTTGAACATGAAATTATTCTTTTCACAGACAAAAGGGTACATTCGATTATCGAGACAAATCTAGTGTTTGGACAGAGTTCACTCCTGACCCGTTCAGAAAGCAGCTCAGCCACCTTACTATTGTACCATACAAAACTACTAGTTTAAGCTGCCTATCCAATACATTAATCACAACGATGTAAAAGTGTCAAACATACTAATTGCTGTCTAGGCACACCTCTCACTCCGAGTCATATCCATATATTGTATAGATATCTAACCTTTGTCAACTGATAATTAGGTTTGATGCCAATAAAACATTTTCATTCTTACAACTATATATAGAAATTTTATAAGGAATACAATACCATCATTACTGAAGCACAGAGATGAAATGGAAGTTGGGTAGCGGTGGAACTGACACAATCTCTTCTTGTTGAACCCGTCCCATATGTTAACATATCCATCAGAGCCACCAGTGGCAAACGTGTTATAGCCATTGTGGAAGCTAAGAAAAATATAATAAAATTAATGTATCAATCTCTTATAATTCCTCCACAAACATTGTATATAATTAATTACTAAAAAAGACTCGTATTGTTCAATTATTAAATTAGTACATATCTAGGGTAAGAATGGTAAAATTTAACCAACTTTTATACGATTTCTAAAATTCTTTTGTGTTTATTGTAATCTCCTCTTCAAATGCATTTAAAGCTTGAAAACTAAAGACCACAAGGCAGAAATCTTAAATTAGTGCAGATAACAGAAAGCAAGAAATACCCACTGACAGGTCAAGGAAGAAGTCTGGCTATCGTAAAGCTAAGAGAAAAATTAAAGGAGGAGAGAAAGGGCACTTGCTAATGTCCTACAAGCAATGTCTACTATGATACAAAAGTAGTCACATTCACCTTCCTTGAGTTGCTGGCATAATACAAACCTCCCAGGTACTATTTCAGCCATCATTGTAAGATTTCTTAAGCAGCACTTTAAAACAAATTTGAATTCAGCACACTGTTCTATCTACAACATATATGAAGCAGTCAACTTTGTTACAATGATTATTAATGCATGTAAATGCCAACTGCTTAAAGTAGCCGACTTGAATGGGTAAGCGGAGGAAAGGCGAGAAAAGATCAAACCAAAAACAGCAGCCAGTATACTGTACAAGATAATGCTGGCAGCTAACAAACAGTAGCGAGTGTTGGCAGAAAGTGGCTAGCAATCTGTAGCCAGTGTTAGCAGAAAGTGGCTAGCAATCTGTAGCCAGTGTTAGCAGAAAGTGGCTAGCAATCTGTAGCCAGTGTTAGCAGAAAGTGGCTAGCAATCTGTAGCCAGTGTTAGCAGAAAGTGGCTAGCAATCTGTAGCCAGTGTTAGCAGAAAGTGACTAGCAATCTGTAGCCAGTGTTAGCAGAAAGTGGCTAGCAATCTGTAGCCAGTGTTAGCAGAAAGTGGCTAGCAATCTGTAGCCAGTGTTAGCAGAAAGTGGCTAGCAATCTGTAGCCAGTGTTAACAAAGTGGCTAGCAATCTATATCAAACTACTTAGTGCTGGTAAAGTGTTATTGTAGTTATAACTCAGGTACTACAAAAGGGAAGCAGAGATAGCCTATTTTCACTATTTCCACCTCAACAGGTTTTCAGAGGTCAATTAGTCCATTATCTGCAATCTAACTTTGCATTCAACAACAATAAGGTGAATTTTTCTTATACAGCAACTTAAAAATGTACATCGTTGGTGAGTAGGACCAATAACATACCTGATAGCATTGACTGGAAATATCTTCTCAATGCCATCTTCTTTGAGTCTGTGGCACTTGAAGGCATATTTCTTCTTCTGGACTTCAGGGCTGGGGTCAAGATATTCTACTGCAACTCTGCCTTCAATACTAGACACTACATAACCCTGAAAATTATACGTCATTAAATTACCATGCAACTTACTTGCATAAATCTAAGCCACTCCCCTGTCAGAAAAGAAAATGGTGGGGGAGTGGGGGGGATGTGACTTACAGTAGAATATAAAGCTCCTAATTCTTTACATGGATTCAAACTTTGCCTTTCCACCATCATTGGTTCCTCTCTACCTCTCACTGTTTGCATTCATTTGCATGCAGTCTGCTCCATAGCCAACGAACTCCTTCAAAGTTACTGTCTATTGCTTTACTAATATCAAATTACAATGCTCAGCTCAATTTCTGGATAATGTATAATCTTTAACCATTCCATCCAACCACTCCAGTATTTATTTCTATATGCACATCAGAATGTGTTGTGAGTGATTATCATTAATGACAATACAGGTACTGTATAAATCATTTATAAATGGCATGAATCAATAATAAATGTATGTCTCGAATGAATTTGCACTTTGATTTTTAATAGATAAATGCACTAATATGACTAGATAAATCATTGTTATATTACTAATTTAGCACAAGCAATGCTGGATACCCTTGCTAATATTATATAAGATATGATTCCCCAATACAGGAGAAAAAGTATCAAACAGTACACGATGAACAAGTGTATAAATTCTATGTACTGTAATACTGTACCTAGCAATTTGTACATTACCAGGATCCTGCTAGGTTTACATTTAAGTTTGTCTACTACTGTACTGAGTTGAAGAATAATTGAATGACCAACAACCTAAGTAACAAACAACCAGAATGAATCTGAGACATGAATCCAACCAAGTTAATGTGATGACGACTAAGTTAATCTTTGACAAATACCTGTTTATTTGGGAAGCACTGAATACAACGAGTTTGGTATTTAAGTGAAGACTCTCGTCGCTGCTGAGCAAAGCCCATATTGCGCAGATCCCAAACCATCACTTTCCTGTTTGATGTTCCCACCACAAGCTTTTCTCCACTGAGACCCATGGTATAGACCTGAAACATTAGCAAAAATATGTATAATACACAAACACACCAGATACTTCAGAACCTAAATGGGCTACAGGAAGGGCAAAAAATGGCTACTGGAGTTTAACCATGCAGCTGTGAACTTAAAAATATACTTAGGTTTTCCTCACATGTACATTAAGAAAGTGAAGAAAAATTAATTTATCATGTTTTCCTTTGGAAGTGATAATTAAAAATAGGGAACACTTTCTAGATTTATTATTTGGATACAGTAAGTGCTTTGTTAATTTTACATCAGTATTACATTTTCTTTTATTACAATGAGAGAAAATGTTAGCAGGAATATCTATAATAATATGGCATATTTTAAGTCAGTCTTAGAGTATGAAGATACATTACATATGACAAATTAGCTATGAGGATATGGTAAGAGAAGTAAACCTAATGATATTTAAAAATGATAAAACACAAGATCACAACACGCAAGATATTAATGTTGACAAAGAAATATTTACTTTTCCAGGTAAGATACATATACTGAATGGGGAAACACAGGTTAAAGTTGAAAAAAACAGATGAGTGAGAATTTTAAGTAAATTTTGTACTCATATGTAGTGTGACAAACTGGAATGAGCTTGACCCAGAGATAGTCGAAGCAATCAATATTCAAAGCTTGAAAATTAAGTATTATAAAGCACTAGAATGTCAGGAGGCATAAATATACCATTTACAATAGCCGAGGTGGAACTCATTCCTCATCCTCAAGGACAACTCAGCAAGCATAACGGAAGAATCTATTCACCATGACTTGCATCAGTTCTACACGGTAAAATAACAACGTACTGGAGTGAGCGATATGGAAGAAAATGCAAGATTGAACCAGTGAAGAGCAGAGGTGCCATAGGCACAATCAGAAAACACTGTATAAACATCAGAGGTCCGCGGTTGTTCAACGTTCTCCCAGCGACTATAAGAAATATTGCCGGAACAACCATGGACATCTTCAAGAGAAAACTGGACTGTTTTCCAAGAGAAGTGCCGGACCAACCGGGCTGTGGTGGGTATGTGGGCCTGCGGGCCGCTCCAAGCAACAGCCTGGTGGACCATACTCTCAAGTCGAGCCTGGCCTTGGGCCGGGCTTGGGGAGTAGAAGAACTCCCAGAACCCCATCAAGCAGGCATCAAGCAGGTAAACAGGTATGAAAGAATAACAATCTACGTAATGGGCCTTGTTGCTTCACACACTTCATCTACCCAATTTCTTACTATAAATTAAACACACTAAAAGATAAAATGTATTATTTTTAGAATGTTAAACTAAACCAAAATACACTAAAGCTGTAAAGAATTATATTTGTAATGTAATATATTCCTCCTACCTTGTTGGGTTGTTGGAATGTGCCAGCTTCCCGAGGTCCCCGTGGATCCCAAAGTTTTACGTTGGAGTCCCACGATCCAGTGATCACCACGTTCACTTCCGGACAAAACTCGACACATCTATTCAAAATAAGGGCCAAATTAGTTCAAACAATACTATAAATACATTCCTTATTACTATATAAAAATTAGGTAGAGCAATTGTTATTCCTTACATATTTGACCCCTTTCAAATTCCTCCAGACAACCAAGTGTCAACACGTTACAGAAATGTTAAACCATTTCCTGAAGCATTTTTGTTTCTGCTGTAAATGGTTTGAAATTATGAACAAGCATCAATTACCATGCCAGCCTTAACAAAAAGCATTACTGAATATGAATACAGAATATAGAAATAAATTGTACAGAAATATTCTTTATAGATTTGTTTTGGGGCATGGATTTACTGTTTTTATCCATTTTGGTGCACCTATGAAGTTTCTCTATAGAATTTTTTTATGGAGAAATTTAATTAGGACCATAAGGATACTACATATACGAGAAAGTGCAAAAGTGTGCCGATCTCCCATAGAAAATGTGCTGAAGTGGATCTTCAAGCATTTGTGCCCAAATGAATCTGAATTATGTAGTTAACACAACATTTCAGAACGCTGTACTACATGTGCAGTCATGCAACCTAATAGGAGGGGTGTTTGGTGGGATGAGGGCCACAAATGCAATTTATTAACAAAATAAAGAAGCGAATTTTATGAATACAAAGTGAATGGGGAAAATCCAAAAAATTCAAGCACTGTATGATGAGAATTATAAGGTATGTAAAAATAGTAGATCAACAGATAAGAATCTTTGAAAAGGAAATTTAATTAATTAAGGAAATACATAAAAAGCACAAGAAAAATAATTTAAGCTTTGCATAATACTATGTCTTAAGACATTAAATTACAATTTACATATGGTTCTATTTTATGTATCCGACTCTCATATGGTGCTCATAAAATTATGCCATATTTGGCAGCCATGCCAGTCATGTCAAAATTGCTTAACATTTCCTTTAAATACTTTTTCCACACACTCATTATCCTGAGCAAACAAGGAATGATTTTTACAGTAGCCAAGAAAGGCATATTTATGAATATAAATTTAAATACAAATATTTTCAGAAATATTTATACTGTACTGTATTTATGAAAGTGTCATGTGCTTAAGGAGTTTGTTAAAATGTACATTAAAAAATTTGCGTATGACCACCCCTTGATGATGTGAATTTACCAAAGTATCGACATTTAAGGATACCTGATCAACCAGGCTGCGACTCATACGTCAGGCTGCAAGCAGCAGTGTCCAACAGCCTGGTTGATCAGCCCAGCAACCAGGAGGCCTGGTTGACGACCGGGCCGCGGGGACGCTAAGCCCCGGAAGCACCTCAAGGTAACTTCAAGGTTATTAGTGACGATGAGAGACCGTATTTCAGAACCTACCTTATAGGGGCATCATGGCCACCCACTACTAATTCTGTGTTTGTATTCAGGTCAAATGTCTTGAGCTGACCATCTAAGCCACCACTGTATGCATGGACTGCATCCTACAAAGGAAATTTTAATGCCCAATTAATAACAGTGCACAGTACAAAGGCACAAGTTTAGCATTTACTCAAGAAATTTATTCATGTTGATGCATCAATCAATACAAGAACAAAATATTTTAACCCATACTACATCACTTAATTGTATACAGTATCAACAATGGTTGAACTAGTATTTATGGTGGAGAGTGACATGACAACCTAAACTAGCTATATATATATTATTTTATTATATATATATATATATATATATATATATATATATATATATATATATATATATATATATATATATATATATATATATATATATATATATATATATATATATATATATATATATATATATATATATATATATATATATATATATATATATATATATATATATATATATATATAAAAAGAGAAGAAAAAGTTTTATACACAATTTTAATTTTATGGAAAACTCGTACAGGGTGCATTTCACATGGCACAAAAGCATTGTCAAAACAATGGGACAAAATCCATCCCCTAATTCAGAAATGCAGTGTACTCTAAACACTCTAAACAGAATGTCTTATTACTACTGTCACTTGCTAATAAGAAGTATTAATGCATCAACTGCCTACAGTATATCTTAAAAAAGGCTTTAGTTTGTAGGAATTAAATACTTGCCTGGAAACAACAATCAAGGACAGGGCACGAGTGCTGGTATTGTAGTCGCATGTTGTTGTTCACAACATCAAAGAGGCGAACACTCTTGTCCCATGATGCCACCAACAGAAACTGTGATGACGACGGCCCAAATTTCACACTCTGTATGCAGTCGCTTGGTGTGTTCTTAAGACGAAATTCCATACGCGATTCACTCATCTTTCTGAAATACATTAATGAAATCAATTTTAATTCCAGCAAGTTTCTGGCAAAGCACCTTTCATGAGCAGAACACGATGTCTCCACAAGAAAAATATCCAGTTTGTCAGACAATTTTACATGTACAAACAGACAGGCAGGATGACATTCTAGGCATCTGAAGGATTATGAACCTGTCTGCTGCAACACCCTGCTTACAATCCTGAATTATTGCCAAAATCACATGGAGGGGAAAAAGTTAAGTACTGTACTATACAGCATTTAAGTACAGTATTTTGTTTAATCTTTTTAATTTATTGGTAGAACACTCCTGATAACTCCAAGCAATCAATCAGAACTCTATGCGGCCAGTTGAGGGTTTTTTGTCAGTACAATGACAAAAGACTGAGCTGGCCATTGGACTAGTTAACAAAGGGATTGGAACCATTTACTCTAAAGTCCAACCAGATATTCGTAAATACTGAATTGTCCCAATATACAGTACTAAACATTTATCAATATTACTATGAACAGTTAGTCTTTTTTATATACAAATTTGAAAGTTTGAATTATCTCATTCTAGAGTATTTTAAATAAATTTCAATAGACAACTATTTTTAAATATTTTTTTATAGAAATAATTTAAATTTCCGGTTACGAAATACAGTACTAAGGTTGCAATATTTTAGGGTCAACTGCACATTTACTGTATGTATGTATGTACAGTATATGTATAGAAAAACAGCTGTACAAATTAAAAAAGCATAGACAAATGTAAATGAATAATCCTCTCAACCACAACATGCAAACCCAAAGAATTCCAGTATTAAAAAGTTTCTAAAATATGTGACAAGGAGGGGGAGTTTCACTGCTTAATATCAGGGAATAACGGAGACCTTCATTGCACCCCAACGTACCTATGTACTGAAAGCTTTATGGTGAAACATTAATGTGTTCTCGGATATTGCAAGAGCACCGGAAAATTTTGAAAAGGATACTTAGTACAGTATAATACGAAAACAACAGTTGCTGCCACCGAGTCACATTGCCCAATGACTATACAGTAGTTTAGTTTATGATCATGCATCTTTGTTGTACGTTTAAAGTTAACATGACAAGTTTCTCAATATCTCAAATCGAAACAAAACTTTTTTTTTTTTTTTTTTGCTATGAAGCTAAATTTCTCAATTTCTCCACTCAAATAGCTGCCAGAAATATACTTTTTGACAAACTCTAGTAGAGTATTTAAAAAGTGAAGTCGAAACACTGTAGTAGCCTCTGGATATTAAATGGAAACCTTTAGGACAAAAAACAACAAAAATACCTATGACAAACCAATACTGCATACTACAGGTTATACCTAATAAAACAAAATGACATTATGACTATATAGCACTTGGAAGGGATCAGGATAAGGATTTGGGATGGGACGGTGGGAAACGGAATGGTACGCAACCACTTGGATGGTCGATATTGAACACCAACCTGCACGAAGCGAAACCGTCACTCTTCTTTCCAGTTCAAGTGGTTGGGTGGAGGAGCGGAGAAAGAACGAAAAAGGAGGAAGTGGAAAAGAAAAGCAAGGGCAAGAAAGGAAGAGGAAAATAAATAGGGAGGTGGAAGAAAATCAGATTTTCCATTTCCATTAGAGGTTATAAGATAACCTCTCATAACCTGGCTGCCGAAAACTGTCCACCACATTAAAACACAGTACAGTATTACGGTCACCACAAATTTGACTTATAATAAACAGTAACATTTCAGATTAAACTATCTAACACTGTGTAAAGTAAAAATACTAAAATTTTGAAGATACAGTATTTGTCAAAGTATATTCTGATACACTGACCAATTTCAACCAATGCAAGCCTGCAGATTTCACAAATTGAAAACTACAGGTGCTGGAGTTACAGTAGTGAAAACAAGGGTTTGTTTGCAACCATGAATACTAGTTGCATTCCCCTTGCAGTGTTATAATACAGTACAATGTTGTACCCCCAAACTTTTCCCCAGTTGTGTTTAGAGAAAGGCTGTCTACAGATTTTAATACACTAGTTTTAAAAAATAAATTAAGCCTTGTTTTAAATAAAAAATTAGATTTTTTTGTTCAAGCTATTACAGAATCTCATAAATATTATTGTAATATTTGATTGATATCATTGTAAAGACAATATGCATTTCTATCATAACATGTACAGTACATCATTTTGATTATCGAAGAAATATCAATGAATAAAACTTAATGAATTTGGCAAAAGTAATTATAAAAATTTTGAAATATGCCAAATATTAAACATTTTAAATTTAGAAATAACACTACACAGTGTAGCATTGTTACACTGAGCTTTGTGTGAAAATTTCATTATAATGATGAAAACTAACAAAGATGATTTAAATGAAAGAAAAGGAATATTTGAATTTTCCTGCCCAAAACCCTCAACAGTGTATTCAATTAGTCTGATTATGTTTCCAAGTTTTCAGTTTAATATATGATTACAAAAAGAATAGTTGGCAACTCTCCAGTATTGACAGCCTTGCCTGCTGTTGTCAGTGGGAACAATATAAAGAGTTGCCAAATTTCTGTCAAATACAGCTAAAATGTTTTTGAGCTATAAAAATTGTAAAGAAAAATGACGGTTCATTTAATTCATTTAATGAAGCTCAAGACAGAATCTATTATAGTTTTTAAAAATCTGCCTTCAGGGGGCTACCATGGCTCAAAAACTAAAAAATTAGGCATAGGGGCCTTCCTTACACCACCATATGAAGATCTTTTAAAAGTTTCAAGCTAATACATCCAGATATTGCATGCAAAAAATAGTGGAGAGAATAAATACCCAAGTTATCCTTACTAGATATACCTAATGACATACTATTTCATTCAATAATAACTGATGTCCTATTTACTTTCAATTTATCATTAGATTAGAAGGAATGAAACTTAACAAAATTCATGCTGACGAACCCTGCATTTGAGCTCTGAGAGCCTCGGTACATTGCGCCGTCTGGAGATCACCGAGCTTCTGCTGGCTACCTCATGGCCTATCTTGATTGTGCCTTATGGATCTATTATAATTGTATTAGAGCAGGACACGCACAAGACAAAAGCAAAAGGTCTTTATATATTTATTCACCAAAAGATATTCCTTGTCTAGGAAAGGAAGATAATGAAAAGTAAATGTTGCACTTAAAAATCATATTTAGTTGGAACACTATAAAAAATATCCTGCAAATGGTTCAGAGCCAAATCTGCACCATTGCATATTATAAATGAAAAACCTATACCTGTACTTTATTTATTATAAGTAAGAATGGCTTGATGGTGTACAGGGGATCTCTCAGGATCATTATGTGGGTCTTATGAACAAACCTTGCTGAATATCAGTTATCCTGACCGAGTGACTATTTCTCGGTAACTACAAGATCATTCATACCGTCTTTAAAAAGGTGCCATATTATCTAGTGCGCATACATATGCTCTTGTAGCAATACCTTGCATGTCTGCCTGGCTTTGTCATTATCCTGATAAGCTGCTTAGGATCACAAACTGTGTGGTAGCAAATGGTTCAGAAAAAGCATGTGTACTATAAACTAGTGAAACTTAGGACAAAAAAATTAGTACTCATTGTTATTTACAAAATTGATATGCAATTTCTGGAATCCTACAACAGATTTTGTTGTAAATTTAAGTGTCATACAATATTTAAAATATCTTATGTACTGTACAGTATATGCATTACTCAAAACTAAATTTCATAAGCAATTAATAACAACAAATTTCTGCTACTTACGTCATTCTTATTTAGATTATTTGTAGATACAGTATTTCAGGAGAAACTGCCCACACCCTGAAAAATAGTAACAGAGCATTGGGGACAAGCAAGAAATGGATATTGTATGCAACGATCTTGTTTAAAAATTTTGAAGGCAAAGACTAAATTTAAGTGCCTCCATTTAGCCTATTACCTTCTCACTATCTCCAACATTACAAAATACAAACATATCTAAAAATAAACAATTAGACTAACGTTTGCAACTTTGATTTAGGCAAGTTTATGGACACACATTTATAAACAAATTATCTTCAAATTATGCTTTTTTTATTTACTGTATTCAGATTTTTGCTTTTTGTTTTAGGAAGAAGTGGGATGATAAAGGTAGACACAGAAAGGTGCATTATGAGTACAAAACCAAGTGGTTGATGACCTCAAGAGCCAGAGTTGGATGCCAGCTGGAACAAGTCTCCAAATGTATAAATACAGTAGTTCATCAGATTTTAATCGACAGTGGCCCCCAAAGTACAAGCCGCTGAATGTCATCATCCACGGCAAGGAACCATAACCGATAACACGACCAGGTCGTGGGTAGTACATGTTACGTCATTTTTGAAAAGTCGATTACTGTAGATGTAATGAATTATACAAAGGTCATTATATAACTTATGTATTGTATGCCCTATATGAAAATGTATTCCTCACCCACACCCAAAATAATAGCTGGTAGACAGGGTTCTTTGGGCTAAATCTTGCCCTAAACTAGGCAAGAATACATCCACACATTAACTGCAGAAAGCAGATTGTTTGCATAACCATCTGTCAAAGATGCAGAATCTTCACTGACAACCTGTTTTCTTAAAGCACATCTTACAGATAAGCACTATAATTTTTTTTCTTGCCTGTCACCAACTCTTACACATTCAGAACAGCAAGGAATATTTATCATGCACACTCACCCCTATCCTGCTCACATCCATATCCCACACCACAACCATCTGCTTATATAATACTTTCACAACCTGTTTACATAATTTATATACATACTTGCATACATATATAACAGGTTGTGAAAGTCAAAATAAGCAATAGTTGTGAAAGTCAAAATAAGCAATGGTTTAAAAATGAAAAATAAAAGAATTATAGGGTTGATAAAAGAAACTTATCAGGATTATTAAAGTTTCCTCAAGCCATTTCCTCAAGCTGCACACATGGTCACAAAACCGACTAGCCAGGAGACACTTGTATCCTACCATGCCAGAAATACACACATTGGAGTGTGATGACTTGGATAGGATACCTGCCAGGATACCAGGATACCTGGCTTTCACCCAGGAGGCCCGGGTTCAATTCCCAGCATGGGAATGAGTGTATCCTCGGGGCAAAATTTAAAAAAAATTGAATGACTTTGAAGTGAAGTTAACATACCACTACTGCTCAGGTGATGAGTATGGGGAAAGGTCGTGATATTATGAATTACAATGGAAATACAGTACCAATATATCATATTTTTTGTTAACACGATAACATATGATAAGTGTGTCAAACGTATTGTGGAGTTTGAGCACACAAAATGTGTAGTCCTGACAACAAGCATTTTTTAAGGGAGAAACAATGGTACGAAACGACTCTTCTGACCCGCGTAAAGACCTCACTAAGTCTTCCTGGTCCCTGAGCTCCCTATCACAACTCACACCCCAGTATACTGCATTAAACACACACCACTGGTATGGTGGGACCCAGGAGATAACGCTCGACCCCGTGAATAAAATCAGATTGGCGAAATAGACCGCAGGCGCTGGACAGCTTCCAACACAGCTCAATGCAACTCTCCTTACTGCCGTACACGGCTTTATTACCATACTCTGCTAGTAAAGTCGAGGCGCAGGTGGTGCCTGAGACAGTGCCAAGTGGAGCCTCCGGGCAGTAATGAGGGCCACTCACCTGTGAGAGACGTGTAAGGTAAACCAGGAATAAGATTCAAAGCGTGGCTGGTGTGCGGGAGCGAGGGTGCCGGTGCTGCCCTCTCCCCGCACGCCTCCCAACCACCGCCCCTCACACACCACATTTACCCGAATTTACCTGAGGGACACTATCTCTCTAGTGGCCTCGGCGAGAACTGGAAGCCGGCGGCTTGTCAATTGTTCCCAGTTCTCGTCGTAATGGCTTGGCGCTTTCACCTGATAATTTATTCATTCATTCCCCCCCCCTTCATTTGTCCTGATGATTTTATTGAGATGGATTTTGAAATTCAACAGAATTTTGGCATTTAAGGCTTCGGCGGGTCGGCAGTCCCATAGATTTAACTCTATGGCGTTAAATCCATGTTGAAGTTATATTCCATGTTATGAAATGTGGAATAGGAGAACATAGACCCCACACAACCTATAAATTATGTGAGAAATCTTTAAAGAATTTTGACAAAGAAAGGGATCTAGGGGTTGTTCTAGATAGAAAACTATCACCTGAGGACCACATTAAGAATATTGTGCGAGGAGGCTATGCTACACTTTCTACAGAATTGCTTTTAAATACATAGATGGCGAAATACTAAAAAAATTGTTCACGACTTTTGTTAGACCAAAGCTAGAATATGCAGCAGTTGTGTGGTGCCCATATCTTAAGAAGCACATAAACAAACTGGAAAAGGTGCAAAGACATGCCACCAAGTGGCTCCCAGAACTGAAGGACAAGAGCTACGAGGAGAGGTTAGAGGCATTAAATATGCCAAAACTAGAAGATAGAAGAAACAGAGGCGATATGATCACTACGCACAAAATAGTAACAGGAATCGATAAAATTGATAGGGAAGAATTCCTGAGTCCCGGAACTTCAAGAACAAGAGTGTATATGTTTATCTCTCAGAATGTTTGGTAATATGTTTATTGTTTGTGATGTGTGTATATGTATGTATTAACACGATGTAATGAACGGGGTGAGAATAGCTTCCTCATCCCTTTGTGTGTATTTTACCTCAATAAACTTATTTCAATTTCAATTTCAAGAACAAGAGGTCATAGATTTAAACTAACAAAACAAAGCTGTCGGAGAAATATAAGAAAATTTTCTTTTGTAAACAGTGGTAGACGGTTGGAGCAAGTTTGGTGAGAAGGCTCTCATCTTGTAACTACAATAACTTGTACACTACACTACAGAAGATTTATTAGGTGAGTACAATTAGGTGAGTACTTAGGTAATTACGACTGTCACAACGGGGACTGGTCGATTCGTACATACCAGTTTCGGATAACGTCGGTTCCCTATATACAAAACCAGTTCGTTCACTGACAATGAACGAACCCTTTCGTATACACACGCGCGCGGGCTTGCGTTCGCTGCTGTTCTCGTCTTCCAAGATAATAAAATTACCAAAAACGAGTCAATAGAAGTTGATAATAAATTAGGAATATGATTACATGGCACATGATCATATAATTAGTACATGTCTTCAAATAATATGTAAATTAGATTCTTTTAATTTGTCCTTATACAATTTAATGAATAAAAAGGTTTTCCTGTCTTAAAATCTTTATATTATGACAATCACATAAACATATAAATAAATATAAATAAATTTTTATTCAGGCGAAGTACATACATAGTTGATTTACAAACATAATGTTGGATTTATAGATAGAGCTAATACATACAATACCTAAAGCTACTAATACGCATAGGGTTTCGGGTATCTACATTAAAATCAGTGTGTATAAAAGAGGCTGACTTGTACTGAGCACACAGTTTGTACTTTATTTGTTACTTTAGTTCATTTATTATGCACCCTATACCCATCCTGTGGGCAGTGGTGGAAAGGGTTACAGAGGCACACAAGCAGAGGCGGACGGTTGTAAGTTGGACAGTATGGAGCAAGGAGGCGTTCCATTAAGTGCCCGTGAGTTCAGCGTGTATTAACGACCTTTGCATTAAATGATCAAAAGCTGAAAATGTAGGGGCCAAAAACAGACGCTTGGTCTTGTAACTCATGTAAGCAAACACATTCACACACCACAAACAAACAAAATTTCAAATCCACGATGTCTATCTCTCCAATGCAATACCTTTTCATACAACCTGGGGCCGGATTCAGGAAGGTACTTACGAAGGTTTTTCCTCTTAGCTAAGAGCGAATTCCTTCTTAGCGCCTTCGTGGCGGCTAGGTCCGTATTCAAGTAGGTACCCTAAGTGGAAAAACCTTCGTAAGTTCATTCCGGGATTTAAGTGTGGTTTCGACCACTCGTAGCTTTACGTAAACTGGATATAAGTCATTTTTTCTCTACTACATAACACTGGGATCGATTTATGATATTGGAACATGACCAAAATATTATAGCTGGTGAATCTAGTGAAGAGGAATCCTTCGTGTTAGTTATATATGCATTCTCTGCTTGAAACTTGAAGTAAATATGTGTTTGATGATAGTAGAATTAGTTTTATAATAGCAAGATATTATACCAGTAGTTATTAAGTAAATAAACACTGGTGAACATGAAATATGAGAGAAGGTGATGAGCCCTGCCTGATGGGATCATTTACTATCACCAAATGCCCCTGTTCACCTAGTAGTAAGAGTGTACCTTAGCTATACATACCCATTTCTAATTTATTTAGTTTGGTTTTATTTTGAAATTAAATCTGGGTGAGACATAAAATAAAAATATGCTGCACAAATGATGTTAGGTAAGGAGAAGGGTAAAAATGTCACAAACTTTATTCATTGAATACTTAAAGCTATAATTATGACTATATACTGTAGATTATTAAAAAAGAGAGAGGGAAGTAGGGGTCCAAAACCTCTTCCTGTTATACAATTTGGGTGTGGAACAAGTAATTATCAAAAGAAGGCACCATGCCGGGAAGGCTATGTAGCAGTAAGGCAGTGAGGTGAGGCAGCTACTTATTTGAGAAATGCTTATTTTATTTACCTTATAAGCTGAGGCAACTTATTTTATTTGAGGAATACTCAGCTGATTCCTCTACATTTAGCATGGAACAAATTTGTGTCAAAGACCTCTTCCTGTTACTCAATTTGGCTGTGTGTAACCAAACTAGAAGTGCTCTACAAATCAAGGGACCCAGAATGTGGAATGACCTCCCGAATCATGTCAAAGGCTGTACCTCTCTCAACCAGTTTAAGAGTTAAACCAAGTACTGCCTAATTAACTCCATGTAACCTAACTTACCTCCTAAATGTCAACCCATGTCTTGCTATTTTTTAAACAACGCTGTTCACCAACATGTGCAATTGCTGAGTTATGCTATGCTAACCCCCTTTTTGTATTTTTTATTCCTTCTTTCAACACAATTTATACCTAATCCCGATTACAGGCTGTACTAAGTTTTAGTCTGTGTTTTTTCCCCCACACCTTGCCCGAAATGCTATGAGTATTAGTGGCTTTAGGTATTGTATGTACTAGCTCTGTCTATAAATCCAACATTATGTTTGTAAATCAACTGCATGTACTTTTCCTGAATAAAATGTATTTATTATTTATTTTTTAATCAGTAAGTATTAAAAGAAGGCACCAAGCTGGGAAGGCTATGTAGCACCATTGTGTGTAACAATAAACCAAATTTTTTTTAACAAATAATGCACCTGTATGGTAAAACAAATCCTGTCAGCTGTAAAAATATTGATGCAGTTATTTAAATGAAAAATATAATGAAAGAAATATTACTGGTTTATTTTTATCCTATCTTTTTGTACTGTACAGTATATCCAAGGAAGTGAAAAATTGAGACATAATACACAATTTAATGAATGATTAGCATGGATTAGCAGTTCAAAAGAAATATGACTTGTATTACATATCAACATGAGATCTTAATGATCCATGGTCAACATGATTTAATAAGGATAATACAGTACTGTATTTGTAATAATACAAACTATAATTTAAAATCTTTATTACTGATTTTTTTATTAAGAAGATTAGGTATACACAGCAATGTGCTGCTACCCTATTCTATATGGAATATTACAGTGTAGATAAAAAACTAGCTATAAGTTTATCTAATACTCCCATCTCACAGGATGGTTAGACATACTGTACATGGAATCAATTTAGAAAATACCAGCCTCAATAGAAAAAACAAATAAACTCTGACTAAACAACTCTAAGCAATTTTCACAAGAGGTAAGCACTGAATCATGGAAACATTATATTATAATTACTCTTACCAGTTTCTACAAAACTCCTCTCAAACAATGTATTTTTAAACATGTTTAGGTATACACAGCAATGTGCTGCTTCCCTATTCTGTCTAAAGGACCACACAGTGTAGATCAAAAACCAGCTACAAGCTCACCTCACAGGATGGCCAGTCATACATGGAATTAGGAGAGAACAAAATACTTAATGCTGATCTATTAGCCTCCACTGGCAAAATCTGGGTGCAGCACAAGAATATCTTCCAATATTCCTGAGTGTATGAAGTAATTACAGAGCTCAAAATACCTCATACCATTTGGTATGAAGTCACTGATAACAGGACAATCACAGATATAGTGTTGGAGAGTATGTTCTCTCAAGTAGGACTGAAAACAGATGTTTTTTCCACCAAGAGGGCTATAAACCCATGGAACCGCCTACCCGCTGAAGCCGTAAATGCCAAATTCCAGCTAAAAAATGTAATTAAGACCATTGGCGGGCCCTTCAACAAGCCGCCGGCTTTCTGTCCTCTTCGAGGTCACTAGATAGTTAGTGGCCCTTGGGTAAATTCAGTAAATATATACAATAATTGTCAGCGCATCTTCCGAGCAACAAGGACAGCTACACAGTATCTCTTAGAATTACGTAGGTAAACAACAAATGTAACATATTTGTTTACTACAATGTCGGTGCTGGCTGTAGAAGTTGAAAAAACATTGTTTTACTTCGAAATATACTAATTTTATAAGAAAATTCGACGTAAATAGGAGGCAGTAGAGCTGCGATAAGCCAGCGCTAAATCTTCAATATGAAGAATGTTGCTGCTCTCTGATTGGCGAAACGAAACACAGTAGTGACCTCTATCGGCACGCAGGTGAACCAACAATTTTTCTTCCTAAGTATACCTTATTGAATAGCACCTAAGCATCTTCTTAGGGCGCACTTAGGAACCTTCGTAGCAAACCCACTTACGAAGAAATACACAGAGCTTCCTGAATCTAGGTCCTGGTTTATCAGGCCAGCAGGACCTGCTTTCAAGGAAGTGCTCAGCAACGCAGCAGATTTCCTCCCTCCCCAAAGAATAAACAAGATCAGCTGCGTAAGCTGTAAGCTGATTTTACCTCAACATATGTGCGTCCCTCCGTGTAGACACGAGGCGGCATACATGCTTCAATACATTTGTTTTACTCGTCAACGTTAAAGTTTACTTTAAGGTTTGTAAACTAAAACTATACTTCTTCTGTACAGTTATATGTAGCATGTTCATGATTCCATAAAGAATACCTTAAAGAAGACCATGTTAATGGTGCCATAAAGAAATACCTTAATTTGGAGAAATGTGAGAAAGTTTGTCGAGGAGCATTTGTTCTTCGCAAATCCAAGTTGGTCAGATCTTAGTGAGATTGTGAAGCGTGAGGCTGGTGTCGATATCGTTCCTTAATTAAAACTATATAGAGGAGCTTGTAGTATGAAAAGTCCAGCTGGTTGTAAACTCCGGATGGACTGGTGAGACTACTCTTGAGACTACTCTACTACTGGTGAGACCGGAGACTACTCTTTTTGAAGACTGGATGGGATGTGAACTCTGGGCGTACTTGCCTATATCAGAAGTAGCAGTAGTAGTAGTTGCAGAAGTTGTATCAGTAGTTGTAGTAGTAATTGTAATAGTAGTTTTAATAGAATTAACAGTAGTTGTAACAGTAATTGTATTATAAGTAGCAGTAGTTGTAGCAGAAGTAGCATTAGTTGAAGTAGAAGTAGCAGTAGTTGTGGTGGAAGTAGCTGCAGTAGTAGTAGCATCGTCAATTTCAGTTGTGTTAGTAGCTGCAGTAGGCAGTTTTTATTATTATTATTATTATTTTCTACCACAGACGTGGCCACACATTTACAATGCTAACCAGCATATATACATTTTCTTCTATCCTCCATGGTCAGGGTGAGAGATTTGTCAAACATACAGTTCAGAGATTTATTGAACAACCACAGAAGGTGATCGTAGTGCTATTAAAATGTTAGGCTAAGATACATACGCAAATACATAGATTTATGAATGCATTAATGTGAATTTATAATGGTGAAATGTAATTCTGATCAGCTTCCACATATACTTTATACACATACATACACACATATTTGTCTCTTTTACTCTGACAGGGTGAGATAGCTGACAGAGAAACTTAGCACTGAAGGTGATTAAGATGTTTTTACAAGCTCAGGTTATATAGTTACATTACATGGTTAATCTAGGGTACAAGTCCAATATATCATCAAGTGTTCCAGTACTCATATAGTAGTTACAGAGTTCAGCCTTTCGCCCAGGAGGGCGAAAGTAGGCAGTATAAGCAGAAGCCGCTGCAGTAGTAATATTTTTGTAAAAGTTGTAGGTCAAGTATACCGCTTACCATTGCTCTAATTTTTCAAATTTGCTTGTTATAATTATAATAATTTAAAAAAAAACTCATCACCGTTGCGTAATAATAGAGTTCTTGACCCCGTCTCTTACCCTCGCTTCTCTAGCGTTGTAAGTTCTGGGACTAGCCTCGCCCCAAACTTCTGAGCCTTTTCGATTTGTCTTTTTGTTTTAGATGAGTCTCCACGATGGGGTGGCGTACTCTTAAGACTGGTCTCACGTAGGCGGTGTACAGCGATCTAAGTACCTCATTATATAATTCCTGAAAGATGTTCTGATTTTAGAATCTGTTGCTGATGTTATTCTATTTATATGAGCCACTTGAGGTAGGTTTGGTGTTAAGTCCACTCCCAGGTCTTTTTCTCTAGCCGTTATTGGGAGGTAATTTCCTTTTATAATGTACCGTCCTTTTGGTATTTTGTCACCTGTTCCCATTTCAAGCACATTACACTTGCTGGTGTTGAACTTCAGTAGCCATTTCTCGGTGCAACTCTGTAGCTTGTCTAGGTCAATCTTCAGAAAAATCACACAAAGTTAATATGACAAATTTAACCTAAATACAAAGCTTGTGTTGACGTTCTTCCAGTGTTGTATTTCGGTTGTGTTCTACTGTATAAAATACCCGAAGAACACTAGAACAATTAGGAAAATAAAGGAGTGGCAGGGGGGTGGATAAATGAGGATGTAAATAAGACATGGAATGAAGAGAAGTATAAACTGATCACATTTCACAACCGCCATTACTTCCTCGAGCCATAAAAAAGTCAGAAGTACAAACTTCTTCGACAGACTCATTTACTACACACACTTACCTTTGTTTACTCTTCTCACGACGGCCAACACCAACAGCTGATTGAGTGTAAACAGTGTTGATACAAATTTGTTTTTGCACTCAAATTATGTTCTTTCAGGTGTCTGGTTTTCGTTGTCCGGGGCCAAGAAACTTGTTAGGTTAATCTAGATCCCTATTGTCAACGACTGCCTATTTTCCAAGATCCAGCTCACAATAGTCGACTAACATCAAATATCAATTTACCGCGAGGTGAATAGAGGCACGATGTAAGGCTGTGTGCCCAAATGTCTCGCTCTACCCATGAATCGAACCCAGGACCAATCGATTGAGTTGACTGCGCTAACCACGACGCAGTGACGGTCTGTCGAGGCCCGCCTTCTTGCCTTGTAAGGTCTCTTGGTCGACAGTGTGCCTTCGTCAGCGTTCCAGAGTATCCACTGCCCCGCCTCGAGGGTTGGTAAGAAAAGGGAAGACTGGAATAGTGTTCCATAGAACACTATTCCAGTGTAACTTAGCCGAACAGTTTGGCTCAGTAACTTGAATCTTGCGTACAAAGTTTGCAAGAATTTCAGCTTACTCCAGCGCACAATGGTTACAGAACCATCAGGATTGTTTGTTGATTTGACAGGTGGATCCGAAGATTAGGCCAGACAAGTTCTGGGCTAATAGCCAGAACCACACTTCTTGGCCTAGTTACTCGAGAGTTAATAAAGTAATTTCAAAGCTCCAGGTGCCTCATACATACAGGTCTGAAGGACCTGAATGGATATGGAATGACCTTCCCAATCATGTCAAATACTGTACTTCTCTCAACCAGATTAAGATAAAAACTAAAAACTACCTAATAAACTCCATGTAACCTACCTTACCTCTAAATGTCAACCCATGTATTAATATTGTAATCAATGCTGTTTGTTGACCAACTTGTATGATTGCTATTCTCTGCCTTGTTCCCCTCCTTATTTTATTATTTATTTTTTCAACACAATTTATACTTTAAGTTCAATTATTATTAAGTTTTAGCCTAAGTGTCCCCCCCCCCTTCACCTTGCCCGAAACGCTATGCGTACTAGTGGCTTTAGGTATTGTATGCACTATACCTATCTTTAAATCCAACATTATGTATGTAACTCAGTGTATGTACCTTTACCTGAATAAAAAATCTAAATCTAATCTAAATATACAATAGTGTGTATGTCCTGTCAATAGGTTCCTGTTTACGGGAGCTCGGGGTTGGGAGATTCGTTACTTGCAACCCTCTGTCCCTCTGTCACAGGTAACGGTAAGCGAATCTGTTCAATGGCTATGTCACACTGTCTGCAGGACGTTTTGTGCTGCCCATTATATATATAAAATATATATAATCAGATCTAAATAAATTATAACTTTTTATAATAGTGCTTTCAGATCTTTGAGAACTTGTTGAGCTTGAACATGGGAGTGATGGAGACGGTGGTGCTCGTAGCCGTGGTGGTGGTGAGTGGCAGTGTTTCCACCTATCACACATTTGTCGTGGCAGGAAGCTACTCGGGGGTCATTTCAGACTACAATGCGAGCAGCTACCAGGCGCCCGTGACAGGCTACAATGCGAGCAGCTACCAGGCGCCCGAGACAGGCTACAATGCGAGCAGCTACCAGGCGCCCGTGACAGGCTACAATGCGAGCAGCTACCAGGGCTACAATGCGAGCAGCTACCAGGGCTACAATGTGAGCAGCTACCTGGACCCCGTGACAGGCTACAATGCGAGCAGCTACCAGGCGCCTGTGACAGGCTACAATGCGAGCAGTTACCAGGCGCCCGTAACGGGCTACAGTGCGAGCAGCTACCAGACGCCCGTAACGGGCTACAGTGCGAGCAGCTACCAGGTGCCTGTGACAGGCTACACTGTGAGCTACCAGGCGCCCGTGACGGGCTACAACTCGATCAGTGGCGGCGGCAACCAGTCAACTGTGGGCGTGAGGGGCAGCAGTGTGGGCGGCTACATAGCAACGCAGACAGGTCGAGGGTGTGGCGATGTGTCACCTGGTGTGGCGGTGTCCTCCCTCACCATGTGTGCCGCACTCTGTAAAAGTGGTGAGTGTTACTGTAACAGGGGTATTTTAGGCCTTCAATGTTGGTGTCTGTACTGGACGATACCTTCGCCAGACCTGTCTTTACAAAACTCAAAAACCACCACGGCATTTTAATCTGGCATAGTCCTCCACTAGAACTGTTCAACCTCTTCTGACCTATTGATTAGCTTGGAACCCTTTGCTGGACTGATTTCAACCCTTACATGTACCCTCATAGACTCAGCAAACAGGACTGTTTCCCAGGAATCGGACAACTCCGGAACCTTTTCCACCCGTGGCTCGATTCCTGAACCTCAGCACTATATTAGCACTCTGGGTCAGCCAAAATATACAGATCCCCAACTGGAGGTCCTTTCTTCAGAAATACTTAACTTCTGAGCTCTGGCGTTGCTGGGTCACTCGACCGTCGCCACAAACAACCTCTCGATAACAAGGTTCCACCTGTATAACGCGCGTCATAAATTTTCAAGTGTGGCTGTTTGCTATCACTCCATACGTGAGAGTGAATGTGACTAACTTGTATTTGGTAGTGTTACATATATTATATATTATAAGGAGACAGTAATGGGTAAGTTCATATACATGCGCTTTTTTACATTTAGTAAAATTATTAGGCTATGTACAATATTCACATTTTAGAATTTCCGGTAAATCAGTAAAGTATGTATGAATTAGATAATTTTATCTATTGAGCCTTAGAGATCATCATGTAGAATGCCAACATCATGCCAACTTATATGAAAAATATCGACTTGTAATTTGTATTTTCTGTTGAAATCTGGATATTGTATTTCTGATATCGGTAACTTGCGACCTAATGCAAAATAAAAATAGTGGTAACCCCTGATATTATTATAGTTATTCTGGTGGCAGCTTGTCTACAGTGTTCTCCTGAAGTTGCATCACTGATAGGCTATTATCTATAATTGATTTATACTCCTTTTAAAAAGAAACTTGAGAAGAAATGTTCTCCATCAAACTCAAGACAAATTAATTGATGGCTAATCTGCAGTTGAGGTATCAATTTCATATTAAGTGCTTGATTTCTTAAATTTCCTGAATGGTTTTGTGTTTGAATATTTCTTAAATTATCAATTTCGCTGTTGGAGTCGTATGTGTATCAAAAATTAAAATGTATTTATTTGTGGTATTTTGTTGTTCATAGATGCTGATTGTCGTGGGTTCAGTTTGGAGATAAAGTCGTCCTTGAAGTCCTCATCGCGACAGTGTGAGAAGACCAGGTCGCTCGGCTCCTGCAATGGCGACCGTAACTTTAAATTCTACATACCTCATAACCTCACGTGGAGCGCTTTGACTAACACATCCTCTATAACGAAGCCAAAGGCAGAAGTAACAACTACAAAATCATGGGACTCAACAGGTGGGTGATATCTTGTTTTGCAGATGATGAGTCATAGTAACGTAGTTGAAGAGTTGATGCCCAAAATGAAGAAATGACGACGTTTCGGTCCGTCGTGGACTTTGATAATGGTTCAGGACGGACCGAAACGTCATCGTTTCTTCATTTTCAGAGGTCTGGGTTGGTAACAATATCTTGTTTTGATTGCCTGATGAATTCTAGTCTTGCCATTGCACACGCTCAAACTCTAGAAAATATTTTAAAACCATTACCGACGTGAGAGGTGTATATAGACTTGAGAGTTTAGTTCAAAACTAAAGTGTACTTGCTGGCTAGTCGGTATATATTGTGGTGGCCTTAATAAATTTCCCACCGTTGATAGGTCTAAAGCTGTACAGCAAACAACCCGACATGATTTTTGTTACCATACATTTACTTGACTTTTCACAGATGTAACAACTTTAGCTCCGTCGACCAACACTGTAAGAAACAGCGAGGCCTCAGCCACTCTCCCTGCCAGTACTACAATCACTCTCCCTGTAGGTACTACAACCACTGACCTGGCCGATACTACAACCACTGACCTGGCCGATACTACAACCACTGGCCTTGCCGATACTACTACCACTATTCCTGCCACTACTACAACCATTTCGTCTTCAGATACCACAGACACCCCGGAAACCACCACCACCACCACCATCACCACCAACACCACCATCACCACCAACACCACCATCACCACCAACACCAGTAACACTATCACAGAGATCGTGAAGAACCTTCAGGAGAACACCACCTGCCCTAATGGGACAGCTGTCTCCGCCATATCACTCAAGCCAGGAGATTTTAGGAATGTGAACGTGGATTATCTCGTTTGCAGTAAGTTTCTGACCAATGACTTTAATGTGAGCTTGCAGAACATGATTCCCTCCACTTCGCGGTGTGGAATCAACGAGGTCTTGGTGAGCTTCAGAGCGTATGATCAAATAAACTTTCAGTCTCCAAACGTTGGGTGGGACAATGCTGAATTTTTATTTATAGTGTGTTCGAGGCTTATAAATTACCTGGTAGACTATGGGACCTGCGAATCCAAGACCATATCTACCGGAAAGTGGAATGGTACTCAAGACGTCAACATGGAAACTGATAATTGGGACAATTGGTTCTCTTGTTCTGCTGATCACTTGGTCGTACAGGTGAATCGAGTTAGTATTTCAGGTCTGTTTGTTGTTATTTCCATAGAGTGTTGCCTGGTCAGGCCTAATTAACTTTAAGTTTATGGTTTAAAGACAAAAACTATTAATTTTCTGTAATATGAACAAGTGTCATAAAGACACTGATTCAGTTTGATAATGGAAACAAAATTAGATGTTACATGAAATATTTTAATGTAGAATAATTTTAATGGATAAACTAATATTTCTAACAATCTAAAGATAAAATATTTAATGTTACACAATGTTTATTGTGGATTTAAACTTGTTTAATGCACATATACTGAAATTAATGTACTAGGTTACAGTATCGATCACTACACTTTTAAAGAAAAAAAATATCTGAAAAAAAAATCATGCATGTTCTATTATGTTTCATTTTAAATGTTCATAGTATTTGATATATATTGTTGAATAAAATTAAGTTTACACTTTAAGTTAGTGAAAGTATTTTGTGAAAATTAGAGACTAAAACCTAGTATTTCATATATTTTGTTGTATCAAGAGCAGACATATTAGAGTTGACCACACACCATAGATTATGTACGATTAGGCCTACAATGAGAATACAGATGTGCTCAAACCGCTGAATCAGAAGCGTAGAGGAGGAAGAGTGGACAAGTTATTCTACATGCAAAGGTTGTGGGGCGCAGACATATTTTTTATGCGTATCCAAATCAGTTTCGCTGCGAAAACACATATGGGGTACTGCATCCTGATTGGCAGAGAATAGTCCAAAGGCTTAAAGTCACGACTTGTTGAAAATTTAATGCCTTCATCGTGAACTTCACTGACGAGAGATAAAGAATAGTCACACGATGGTAGGCTCAAGGACCAAACGGTTTTAGGCAAGGACCGTAGGCGCCATTTTGGATCTTATGCGGGTGAACGTTGGAGTTTCAGAGGATCTCAACAGCAGTTTGTCCTCCAAGAGAAGTGAATAATGATCTAGAGCACTTGCGGAAAAATAACGGAAAGAATGTCAGCTTCTGGAGAGAAATCTCCGAATACTCACGAAGTAGCCTAGTAACGAGTGTGTTAGACTCTCATGACGCCTGAGAGCACTTCATGCAGACAGATGTCCACCCTGAAATACAAAAAGAGTTATTGCATATTTCCATGTCCAAGAGGTTACTAATC